CATAACGGAAATCGGCCAAGTCATCCCCCTGGATAGTCACGAGTTGGCGAAGATGAGAGTCCTCTGAGACGCCGAGATTCACATCATCAACAAGGGATAGATCGCCGAGTCGGGCAGAAACGCGCATGGTGTTGGCCCGAAGGAAGATGCCAGCGTCTGCCTTGTTGAATGATAACGTGGCGAGTCGAATGCCATCGTTGTTCAGGATCAGCCTGATACTCTTGAGGTCCACCTTGACTCGGATGGAACCAGAGTTGGGTGGAGGGGTGGTGTTGAAAGAGACATCAACGCTTGCTGTATCATCATCGTAGTTGTCCAGGAGGGACTGTGGGCCGCCGGGTTGACCAGCTTGCTGACTATCGTTATTGGTGAAAGTGACGAGGATGAAATCGAGAAGCGTCAACAAGGTCTTGCGGGTGACGATCAAGTTGATTGTCGAGACCTTGGCGGTCACGTTGGTCTCGACACCCTCATAGACGGGCATGAACTCGGGCGACAATGGATTGACCTTAATAAACTTGACATGAACCAAGCTTCGACCTGCCTTGAGATCATCGCTATCGCCCGACGAAATGATGGCTTTGAATTCGTCAGGAGGGTTGTCCACAAAGTCATCAACCGTGACTGAGCCAAGTGAGACCTCGGCTGCCATGTCATAAGGTCTCGTGTAAAACTCCAAATCAAAGCTCTCAGCGACCAGTTCAACAAGGAGAGCATCGGGCTTTCGTTGGTCAGGGTCGCTCCGATAAAGTGAACCCTTGAGGGTGTCAACCTTGAACTTGAACTCGAAGATCCTTTGCTGAACGCGAAGCTGCTCAACACCGCCTCCATCGTCCGCGTCCTCAAAGTTATCGTCGTCTTCGTCCATATCGTCAAGCACAACAGCAGTTTGAGCCATGAACGGGAATGCCGTGGACTGCCGCCTTTCACGATGAGACTTTCTTCGGGAACGATTAGACGCCGTGCTCTTTAGCCGAGGCCGAGATTTCTCTTTTTGTCCCTCTGACGGTGGTTCAGGTAGCGATGGTTCACCAAACTTGGGAATCGCCACATCAATGATTCTCATGAGGTTCTTATACTTGGAGTCCGAAACAGCGGCGTGAAGCATCGGCAAATGACCGGAAACCTTGAACTTGGTCAGGTTGGGAGCCTTCGGGAGGATCGAGGTTTCGACAGTGAAGTCGACGTTGATCTGCTCGACAACGTGAAGTCGGGCCTCGTCGTCCTTGTCAACAAGCTGCGCTTTAGTTTCCTCGATGGATGGCCCAATGAGAACTTGAGTCGATGTCAGTTTGACAATGAACTTGTCGTACATGACCGATTCAAGCCGCTTGAGATCTTCGTCGCTGTAGGACTGTTTTTGTTTGGACTGGATCTCCTTCATGGTGTCCTGGTCGACAAGCTGACTGTTGACATGAATGTGACCAGCATCAACGATCAAGCAAGTCGAGTCCTCGGTAGTAATGCTGACAGGCACTATAATCAGGGGTGCTTGAAGATCCAGCTCGGCATTGATCGTCTTGTGTTCCTCAAGAGCAAACTCAAGACCGGCTCGAGTCTGTTCCCGGATGCTCTCAACAGTGGCGCCAGCACTCTCCATCAGGGCAGTGATAGACTCCATGTGACGCTCAGGGGGTCTGAAAAAGTCGGCAATGCCAACAACAAAGTTGGGGTTCCAGATGACCTCGAGAGGCTTCATCTTTCCAACAACAGCAATGTCGCCCTCGCGTTCGAGTGGGTTCTGTTCGACCTCGAACTGGAAGAAGGGGTCTTCCTCTGCATTCTCGAGCTCGGCCAGCGAGAGTCTTCGGCGCTGCTTGACATCGGGAGCATCCTTGACCCGCACAATCTCAGGGTAGAGTGTGTCAGGAGTGGTGCCGTCGTTGACACGCAAGCCACCAAGGCTGACGTTGGCAAGGAGAGAGTCCTTTCGCTGGAGAGCCTTGGCCTTGAACACATCAAAGTGTAGACTAAGCAAGTCCGATGCGTTGTCGTGGGGTTTTCTCTTTAGAGTGAAACTTCCAGTGCTAAGGGAAGTCTCAATGCACATCTTGATGGCTTCTCGCGGTATGTCCACCTCGTCCGCAAGAGCATTCTTCTCGTCCCAGTCGATGGCCTCATAAAGCTCCTGTCGCTGTTCCTCGGTCATCTGTGTGTTCTCCTCATTCTGCTCGATCGTCTCTTGAGGTTTGGAGCCCCACACCCACGAGAGCCAGCCTTGTTGCTGCTGCTCCTGTTGTTGTGGTTGCTTCTTGAGAGCCTCGGCGTTTTCCTTTTTGAGCTGGTTGCGGGCTAGAGATCGCCAGAACCGCAGATCTTCATAGCCCAGTTTCCACTCAAGAGAGTTTATTGCATCAGTGTCCTCGGGAGACATCTGTTGCCCTTGTTTCCTCTTCTTGAACAGCTCTATGTATTTTTTCCTGTCATCACGACGCTCCCGGAAGTAATCCCAGGACCACTTTCGGTTGCGCTCATGGATCTTGGATAGCACCGCATTACCGGCAAACTGTAGCCATGCATGGGGGTCTTCCTTGGGCCTGACCCCCTTTGGTTGCAACTTCTTGTACTCTTGGTGACGAATGAAGTAGTGGAAAAGGTCAACCATCATCAAGGCGTCTCGATACTGGTCATCATCCAGGACAAGACCGATCTCCTCGAACAATAGATTCGCCTTGAACTTGGGCACCTTGATGTCGCCCGATTTGTCGAGCTCAATCTTGGCTTGTCCGTTGACAGGCTTCAGAATGAATTGGTGGCTAGTATTCTTCTCGGCGCCCTTTCCAATCATCTCCCTAAATTTTTCAACGATCTCATCGTGTGGGAGCGACTCTGAGGTGGGTGTTGCGGCCTCACGGCCAGTTCCGAGTAGTGTTGAATCGGTATTCCAGTACACAGCAAGTGCGCCCAAAGTAGCCAGCTTGTGGGTGACGGAACTCGAGTCCTGGATAAAGGTGGGCTTCCACTGACCGTCTGTGCTGACGGCGCTGAACTCCTCGAGGGTAACGCCCAGAGCGAACGGGTGTCCTGGTGCTGAGATGGAGTCCTCATATCGGATGTGAATATTCTTGACCGTGACCTGGAGGTTGTCGACGATCTTTGTAACCAGGCTCTGCGTAAAGCTCTGGCTCTTCTTTTGTTCCTCCTGGCTCATGCCTTCCTGGTTTCTCTCCTTGAGCAACTCAGCGCTGTCAAGCTTCTCCATCTTGAGCCGCTGTTTTCTGCGTTCCTCCTCCTCTTCATCGTATTCAGCCTCCTCCTTAGGGCTGGCCAGAAGAAAAACATCCTCGATAAAGACCTTGACAGGGGCGCCACGCAGGTTGGACCAGGGGATGATGAGGGTAAGCTCGCCGAGGTGGCCTTCCATGACATTGATGGGAAGCTTGAGCTGGTCGAGGGCCTCACGGCGCAGCTCTAGGTTTCGTAGTTTGACATCTCCCGACCAGATACCGACTTTGAGCTGGGCAGGATCAAAGTTCTTGACGTACATGCCCAGAAAGCGGTTGAGCAGGCCGGCGACGAGGCCTTCCAACATTCTGGCGGCGGTTCAGCCGTAACCCGGGCCGGGGAAGTAAAGGTAGAATTCGTACGAGGTATTTTATCGAAGCGTCATCTGTCGCTGGGTATGCGTATCGTAGACACGGGATGCCATCCGAGGTCTCGGTGGACTATGGCAATTCGAAGCCCGGCGGGGAAGATGAAGCGGGGGTGATCGTAGACGGTTTCGAATGACGGAAGGGTTCTAGGGGCAAAGGGTATGAAGATATCGCGGATTGTCCCTCTCGTGTCGTGTGAAGGATCAAGGATGGATGGATTTGGTTGCGTATGCGTATTGCCTCTACGAGCGTGAGTGTGAGTGAGTGACGCAGCACACAGACTCTGGCCGGAGCAAAAGTGGGAAGCAGCAGCTCAGCCTTGGGCTGGGGAGGGAATGGTGTGGCGTGTATGACGCTGTTACCATTTCAAGCGCCCAACAGCCAAGAAGGTACTTGGTACCACACGGCGCTAGAGTGGGGATCCAGGTACCGGACTGGTCTGTGGTGGGCCTCGAATTCAGTGCTGTCGAGCCTGGCACCCAGGTCAAGGAAAAAAAGAGACACCAATACAACAAATAGATTTGCTTACCCTTCTCTAAATATAACCAATAAAGTAAAGAAAAATAAATCTAAATCTTGGATGAGTTAGTTAATACTCTCTGCCGTTCTGGTGTCTCGTTTATTTCTTAACCCGCGTGCCTGGCTGTTAGGGAGCTTTGGCCAGCGTTTCAGGCGCTAAAAGACCTGGGGGAAGGAAGGAAGGAAGCCAGCACTTTAATAGGCAAAGGTGGGGCATCTGTTTCTCATTGATGACGGACGATTCAAGAGTGATGAGCTCAAGAGGAATGAAGGCATTCACTACTTTGATACAAATTGGTTCATCTCTATACTATTTCGTATATATCTTCATTTCAACAGCTGCATTCCATCTCATCCTGCAGGTGGCCCATCTGCAGTCGAGTTCCTTGGTGTTCATCAAGCCCACTTAAAAGCTTTCCCCAGAACGAACTCTCATGACGTCACGATAAGCAGCTGCAATCATCACATCGCGATCATGGCTTTGTGTGACAGGAGCAGGAACACAGGGTTTGGCCGATCCCGGGCGGGAGAGGCACGCGTGTGACAGAATTCAATTGTCGAAAAAAGCAAGCACCGGGGGCCATGGCCATTACGTAGATGCCCATCTTGGCGAGTTGGAGAAGCTTGGTTGAGCTCTTGTGCCTGCCTTTCTCCTTCAGACAGCTCTTGGAGTAACCATCTTCAACTTTGACATCTCCCTCTTTCAAACACCTCGCTCTCTTTGCGTTAAGTCAAGCTTGTCTTGCTAGTAGTTCCGTTCAGCTCTCAGGCTACCTGTTTAGTCGTCAGCTCGATTCCCTCCTCGTCCATTGCTCGCGTGCCACAAGTTCACCATTCGCGCTATCACCACGAGAGAGCTCGTCAAAGTAACTTCTCCGCGCATTCGCCATGTTCCGTACCTACTCTCGCTCTCTATGGCATCTTGCCTCTAGAGCTTCTCCTAGTACAGCCAAGCTCGCAACCCAAACATCACATCGATTCGCAATTGCTCCTCTCCTCCGTCAACCAGCCCGTATTACCTTCTCCAGCAAATCCGACAAAGAGAATAAGGACCCTCCCCCTCCATATCGAACTATCGACCGCGAGGCCGAACGTAAGCGCGGACAAGAACTACTAGGGTCAGATCCAAGCAAAGTCTCGTCCCAGAGCTCAGTGCGCCATGTTATTGAGGAACCTCAATCGCCCCCAACCAGCGAACATGACATGGCCAGTGAGCTGAAGCATGACATAGTAAGATGATCAAATCTTTCTCCCTTAATATTACTGACTCGAATCACAGGACATTGTCAAAGACACATTTCGATTCAAAAGCGTTCCCCGCGAGTCGCACATCCTTGGCCTTGCCGGCACACTGCCCTATCTGGGAACATCTCTCTCCACCGTCTTCCTTGCCTGGGATCTTCACAAACAGTGGCCCACCGGAAATGCTTTCTACGATACCATCTTTGTTGACCATGAGACGGCGAAATACTTGTTGAGCGTCATTGAGCCCCTACAGCTTGGATATGGCGCTGTTATCATCAGCTTCCTCGGAGCAATCCACTGGGTGAGTGTCTACGTGTGCTGTTATCAATGCCACATAAACTAACTACTGCGTTCAATAGGGTCTAGAATATGCCGAGAAGCAACCTCTTCGCGAACGTACTCGTTTCCGATATGGCATGGGTCTGGCTGCCTCCATCATCGCCTGGCCTACTCTCTTCCTACCCGTCGAATATGCCCTCACCACCCAGTTCATGGCCTTTGTTGCCCTCTACTTTGCTGACTCAAGAGCTGCCACTCGTGGCTGGGCACCTCCATGGTATGGCACCTACCGCTTCCTCCTAACTGCCATGGTCGGCCTTGCCATATTCATTTCTTTGGTGGGCAGGGCCAAGATCCGCCAGGGAGACTCCCTCAGCGGTCACGGTCTGAGCGACAACTTCTCAAAATCTGGCATCGCTGATACCAAGACCAACTGGACCAAGTTGGAGGAGGAAGAGAAGGAGCGTGTGAAGAGAGAGAAGAAGAAGAAAGCCAAGGAGGATGAGAAGAAGAAGCAGGAAGAGATGCAAGCAAAGATGAAGAGCGAAAAGGGCCATGACCATACCAAGGCAGAGGCTGAGGACAGTGACAAGGGTGAGGAACAAAGCGAGAAGAGTGATGAGAAGGAGGACGGTCAGGATAAGAAGGAATCCAAGGACCAGGAGAAGGATAGCAACGAGGGCAAGGACAACGAAAAGGAGAGCAAAGACAAGGACGAAAGCAAGGACGAGGAGAGCGAGAAGAATGAAAGCGAAGAGAAAGAGTCCAAGGACAAGGACAAGGGCGAGGGCTCCAAGGAGCAGGATGACAACGACAAGCCCCAAGACACCAAGTCCAAGGGCGGGAAGAAGGAATAATTTGCATCTCAACACCACGACTTGATGACGGCAGAACGGCCATGTATAATAAGTAGCGATTAGCGGAGTTGCTTGATTTCTTGGTGATTCGTTCTCAGATCATGCAATAATGACAAGAATATTCGGTTCATCAAGACTTTGACGATAATCTTGCAACAGGCACTAGATGTTCAAGGGATGACTCTCCATTAGTAGACAGCTTCAACATCCCGATAAAAGTATAAGTTCATCAATATGATGCATTAATCAACTAGGTATCTCTAGCCCGCCGCGGGTATTGCTTCGCAGAATCCCAAAGCAGCCATGGCCCATGGGGCTCGTGTATAAAAACTCTATCTGACCCTCTCGAAGCAAAGCAGATGGTGGTATTGAGTTCCAACGCCGTAGTAAAATGCAACCCAGAACCAGGACCGTGTCTGTCCCAGATCCATACCACCCCAGCTTTTTCCGCGATGAACCACCCAAAATATCATCATCATTACAAAGTCTTACAGCAAACGGATCCGTACTTTGAGCTTGTCTTGTTCAGTCTATCAAGGTCGAGCGAGCCCTTGCTTGGCCTAGGAAATGTTAGTACCCAAAAGTAATACCTTGTCAAGAATAAGCACACCTTCATCTGTTCAATTCGGGCCTTCAATTGGCTCGTCACCTCGGCTGCCCTTCTCCAACTCTCAACACCATTACCACCAGTTGGCTGGGGCAGTGAAGACATTGGCCGTTGGGCCATGCCAGAGGAGTGGTCGTCATCGCGATAGGATGCAACATTTCTGAATCCTCTGGCCGGAGAGCCACGACCTGATGATGCCGAGCTGCCAGCATATCGCATCTCGGGACTCAGCTTGTTACGAGGAACCATGGGCTCGCCGTTCTCCTTCTCTTCGGACATGGTGCTGGTCATGCTCATTCTATGGCGGCTAGCAGACCCAGGTCCATTGTCTCGGTAGACATCGTCGTGTGTGGGCGAAGCAAGGCCGGGGCTGTGCATTCCTTCGGCCTCGGCGCGGCTCAAAGCCCTCTTGAGTCGTTCAAGTTCACGCCTCAGTCGATCGTTGACCTGCTCAGTAGCCTCCGCATCACTCCTCGCTCGCACGAGTTGTGTCTCCTTGGCCTTGATGCTTAGCACATCTCGTGTGTGGTCCTCGATGAGACCAGCGTTCTGGTTCTTGAGCTCTTGAATCTCGGACATGAACTTGCTTCTCTCTTGGCGCATCTCGTCAACCTGGCGGAGAAGTCGCTCGTTGGCTGTTCGCAACTCTTCAAGCTCGGCGCGGTCCACGGCGGACATGCCAGTAAGAGGCGGGGGTGACGCTGGTGTAACTGGGCGTGGCGCTGCAGCAGGCTTCGCAAGAGAGCGGCCAGCGAGTCCACGGGAGAGGCCAACACGAGGTTGAGGTGCCGGCGCTGGCTCATCCTCGGCGGGCATGACAGGGGCTGCAGGGGCTCGGCGAGGGGAGCCAGGTCCAGCCAGAGTTCTCTTCTGAGGGCCTTTGAGTCCACCCAGACCGGGCTTCCCAAGTCTAGCTGGTCCACCTGGTCGAGACGTAGGCTGAGGGGCGAGGGGAGGGTCCTCAGGAGGCATCACAGCAGCAGCAGGAGCCTTCTTGGCCATCGGCCTCTTACCACCACCCATGACCTTCTTAGGCGGAGCCGCCTTAGGTGCAGCAGGCTTAGGCTTCGGCTTCTCCTTGGCCTTAACCTCAGCAGCCTCAAAGAACTCCTTGACCTTGTTCCTGCGGATGTCGTCCAGGCCTTCAAGTTGCGGTGTCATAGCTCGTTCGCCAATAATCTTCATGACGGTACCAAGAATCTCAGCACCACCATCTCGAAGCGCAGGACTCGACTCGGACAGCAGCTTCTTACCGGACTCGCAGATCGTGGCTTGTTCCGGCTTGCTGGGCACGTCACGAGTTGTTCGCAAGCATCGAATCAAGAACTTCATGGTGCCCTCCTTGACTTGAGGGTTCTTGTTGCTCAGATAGGCGGTGATATCCTCGAGACACTCAGTCAAATCAGTAGAAGCAAAGACACTATCAAGTGCGGCACCCAGAGCGTCGGCAACTGTGGCCTTCTTCTCCTTCAGGCGGTCCATGATGGGCTGCATAACGGTGGTGCGGTACTTGCCGAACCCCTTGCGCAATCCCTTGGCCAAAGCTTCGATACAGAATGCAGCTTGAGTAACAACCGCAACGTTGGCGTCCTTCATGCACTTAGCCAGTCCTCGGGTTATCTCGTTGAAGTCCGTTTCCTTGATTCGAGGAACATTGAGGGCCTGGTGAAGGCCGTCGACGGCTTCCTTTCGATCCTTCCATTTCGATGAGGCGAGCAGGTCGCTGAAGTTGGGCGGGATCTTCTTGGTAATATCTTGAGGCTCTGCCAGGTCGAAGGCATCCATCTCACCGACATCCTCACCCTCCTCCTCGCCTTCCACACCTTCTTCACCACCTTCGGGCGCAGCATCGATGGCTTCTTGTTGCGATCGGAGCAGACGCTCTTGCTTAGGGGGGCCCTCAGCCTTGATCTTCTCGAACTGCGCCTCCAGATCTGTTTGTTGGGTGGGCTTCAGGTCACCCCAGAACATGGGCTTCATAGCCTCTCGCAGCCATCTGTAGAGCTCTACTGTGAGGTTCGTGGCTTCAGCACGGACATTCTTGTCAGCAGCACCGAAGGCTTTGGGGAGGGCCTTGAGGACAGGCTTAGGATCAACGATCTTGCATCCATAGTTGTGGAAGATTTGTGTGAGGGCGTGTAGGGTCGCAGCGACGTTCTTGGGGACCTTGTTTGACAAGCCTGGTAGCATGTCCTCGATGACAGGCCCAGCGACATCGAGTTCGATATAGAGGAGCAGAGCTTCGATAGCATTCTGCTTGGTAGCGGCTCGGGTTGACGAGAGACACTTCTCGACAATAGGAGTGATGGTTTGGTTTCGCGACCTCAAACAGCAGTCTCGTCCACCAAACTTGAGGAATGCGCACAAGGCGATGATGGCTTCTTGTTGGGCGGCGACGTTGGAATCGAGGACGGCCTTATTCCACAAGCCAGGGTCGTTGAGAAACGGTCGGAAACACGGATCGGATTCGTCGGGGGACTTCTCGAATAGCTTGGCGGCTTCTTCGTATGCTCCTTTTCTCACCTTCCAGACCTATTCATACATCTCGTCAGTTGGGAGCTTCGTGGGGGAGGTGGTTGAAGCGCATACCTTGTGGGGGAAGCGGTCCTGCAAAGGGATGGAGCTATAGTCATCTTCGTCCGCCATGGTTTTGTGGTTGTCGGAGAATTGGTACTGCGCAGAGCTCGAGAGGGGGTATCTTTCGGGAGGAGTATGTCGTTTCTTCTTGGGTTTAAAGGCGTGGACTATCCAGGCGATTAGCTTCTGAAATAAACGGGAGCGCTTTGGGGCTTCCATGTTGGCTTTAAGTATTCAAGGAGCCGTAGCGGGCAGAAGCCAGAGGCTCCTTTTGTACCGAGAATGAACATACCAAATAATCAAAGAGATGGGTAGAGTGGTGGGTATCAACTGGAGGAGAGGCGTTCGGAGGTGGTCGCGTGGATAAAGGAGGAAACAAAGAGACTGCCTTGTTCTTTCTGCAGGAGGCAGCGACGGTTAGTGAATGCGGGAAGGTGCCACAAGAACAGCCCAAGAACTTGGAAAAGTCCAAATCCAGAAACAGAAGGTCCAATAACAACAAATCAGTCTGACACTACTGGGCACCAAGTGTAGGTACTGTAGCTATCGCCAGAATTGGATCCTTGTTGTCGAGACGGACGAGCGAGGCTCTTGTTTCGTTTGTTGGAGTGGAGGGGAAGTGGAAGTCAACAAGCGCCCGTCACCTGATGAACAGGGGTCTAGGGGCTTGGGCGGGAGATTATGGGGAGGTCAAGGGGACCTGGGAACTTACTGCGATGGAAGGTACCGACGCTTGTGTCGGAGAAAAACAAAAAGAGTTGTGACAGTCAATGGCAGGTGTCGTTTCGGGAAAAGAGGGGTTCTATCAAATATTAAATCGAGTAAAATGCGGTGCCACTACCCTCCACTGTTGTGTTGTCCTCCCTGAGGCTCCCTCCAGCCTGCGTGGAGCCGGTTGCACACCATTTATTGACGCCCAATCTAGCCCCATTGCCCCAGAAACAGACGCAGCCACACCCACCGTTGCAAGGGTCGGCGAACGTCAACAATGCGAATGTCGAGGGTATTATGCTTGAGATGCAGGAAATATGTATGTGAACTGGTGGTAGTAGCTGATGTGAAGGAAATACCAAGCTCGGGTCTTTATCCGACTGCAAATACATGATTGTATCGTTGCAGACGTGGAAGCTTAAGCGCTTCAACCTCTCAGCCACAATTACCAATTTTATCCATATCATTCCTCCACGCGACACATACACTGACGAATCTTTCGGAACGCTTTGAGGGACGACTTAGATGACGTCTACAATTTGTATCAAATCAAGGATTCCGCAAGTTTCATACTTGCATCTCGCCCTGCTTTCAATTGCGCGGCAAAGATATTCATCTGGCTGTTGACGTGGCTGATGAGGCCCCATATCCGAATTCCAGGGACCCTTGGCTGTCAGACAGCCCATGTTGATGATTGCCACATTGCTGACAGATATCGACAAAGACTGTTATCAAGCACAAGCAAATGGAGAAACAGTATTTCAAAGCAAAAATACGATTATCAAGTATTGAAGTTCTCATATTGCCTTGAGAAAACATGTAATGCCTGGCCATCAGCCAATATTGTGGTCTTCAAACTGGTGATGGAGATGATACCTGGCAGGCAGCAGTCACGTGCGCACAGATAAGATAACAATTTTCTGGCAAGCATCGTCATGTCTGAGCTTCAAGCTTGGCCGATGCTTCTGCCTTTCGCGTCGCGGGTCCTTCTTCAACACCACTAATTGTGCACTTTCACACTAGACACACATATCACCAACATCGCGGGCGTTTTGTTTCAATATTTCCACCATGGACGGGTCTACGCGATCGTCATTCGATCCCTCAAAACTCACCAAAGCCGCCGCCGCAGAATACTCCTCCTCCGCGTCTGAATCCGAAGATGAGTACCTCGCGCCGGGACTCGACGCCGACAACGACTTTGGAGACTTCAACCCTCGAAAACGGCGGCGCATTGGAGGCAACAACAAGGAAAAGGCAGCACTGGGTATCTTTGGCTCCGACAGCGAGGACGATGGCCCCGCCAGGAAATGGAAGAGGACAACCCTGAGGAACAAAGGCATGGATTTTGTTTCAACGGGCGCGGGCAGCGACAAAGAAGAAGATGCCCAAGACGAAGATTCCGAAGACAACCGACCAGTTTTAGGAGGCAATGCCATGGACGAAGATGACGACGACGACGAGGAAGAAGCGCGTGGTGTAGGACTTGGATTTGGCGCAGCAAGAGCTTTCGGGCGCAACGACGATACACAGAACTCGAGTCGAAGTGCGAGCGCCGACGCACCATCATTCTCGACCTTTCGAACCCGTTTTGATGGGAAGAATCCTCTCGGCATGGGATTTGTTCCATCCTCTGCGAACGAGCCGGTGCTCAAGAACCCACAGAATGATGCCTCTCCAACGCCACGTAACAAGCCTCAACCGAGCGCCTTCGGTGCTAAGGGAAAGGTCAACTCCAAGTCGTTTGGTGCTCGGATGATGGCAAAGATGGGTTACAAGGAGGGGCAAGGTCTAGGTAAAGAGAGCCAAGGACGAAATATTATCATCGAGGCACACCTGCGTCCACAAGGCAGAGGTCTGGGTGCTGTCAAGGAAAAGTCGGAACAGGAACGCCAGGAGGAGAAGCGACAAGCGCAGCTACGGGGCGAAGTTGTGGTTGATTCTGACGAGGAGGAAAAGAAGAAGAGACGAAAGAAGGCAAAGGCCAAGTCACTTGGGGCTGCGTTCGACAGCGCAGCTAGTACGCCGCGACGTCAGAAACCAAAGTACCTGACTGCAGAGGAGCTCAAGGCCACTGCCCCTGGCCTTCACATCCCAGATGCATTTGCCCCGATCCTCGACATGACAGGGCCGGGTAGCAAGATGCTGACATCAACAAGCGGCATCATGACACCAACCACGGGTACGGCGACACCAGAGTCTTCAGAGGTTATCGAGGCAAGAAAGTTGGTCAAGAGAGCTCAAGCCGATCTCTTGGCCTTTTCCGATGAGTGGAAGAGCTTGCAAGAGAGAAAGACATGGATCGACTTGGAGTTGAAGGAAAAGGAACAAGAGATGGACGACCTACGGTCAGACTTTGAGAGATTACATGTATTCTCGCAACTTGTCAGCAGAGAGCTTGCAACAGCCGACTGGGACCAGGTCATCAGCTGTCTACAGAAGGCCCTCGAACTCAAGACCGCATCCGCCGAGATTACCGACATTGCAGTTGCAGCCATCCATCCGTTCCTTCGGGAGGCAGACTGGGATCCTCTGAAGGAACCTACCCGGTTTGCTTCAGAGCTCAAAGGCCTACTACCCCTATTTATGCCCACGAAATCAGACAGCCAATCCCTGGGCAAGTGGCAGTCATCGGCGGTCAATGAAGACGACGTTTATCGCCGCCATCACAAGTCTACAACTCCATATGAGAGTATGATGTACAAGAACTGGCTTCCCAAAGCCCTCGCTGCGGTTCGTTCTTGGGATGTTCTTGACCCAACACCAATGCTCAGTATAATGGAGGCTTGGGATGATCTTCTACCTCCCTTTATCCGCGCGCAGTTCATCGACAACATCGCTCGAAAGTTGGAGACGGCAGTGTCGGATTGGAACCCAAAGAAGAGGCGTCAAAGCCATCTCCCGCATATTTGGCTGTTCCCCTGGCTTCAGTACTTGCCGTCATATCATCTGGACCCCAAGGGCACTGGCCTTGTGGCCGATGTCAGAAGAAAGTTCAGGCAACTCATCGATGTATGGGAGTTTGAGCGAGGCCTCTTCCCAGGGCTCACTGACTGGGAGGGTGTTCTTGGAGATCAGTGGCGTCCGCTTGTCATGTCGCACGTCCTGCCGTCCATGGGCAAGTACCTACGTCGGAATTTCCGCGTGGACCCTGCCGATCAGGAACCTTACCTGCCGGTACTGACAGGAATCCTCAAGTGGACGCCCATGCTGGGTAGACGGGTCATCGCCGAGGTGCTCATGCAACACTTGTTCCCCATGTGGCACAAGAAGTTGACCGAGTGGCTCGCCCTCGACGAGGCTAACTTGAGCGAGGTGGCCGAGTGGTATGGATGGTGGAGGGGTGTTTTGCCCCAAGAGGTCGCCGAGATGAGATCCGTAAAGTCCGAGTTTGACAAGGGACTACGGGTGATGGCCAAGGCGGTTGCGGGAGCGTAATAGACGGCCCTCATCGTTGGCTTCAGGACCGAGGAGGACATGAGAACATTGTCTCGGTGGTATCAATCATGTTGGTAGAACTATGCCCAAGTCATAGAACAAGAAATAGGGGTTCTCCGAAAGAGCCCGGTTGATCATCCGCGCAACTTTTCGCCTCCTGTCTCAGTACCATCGCCTTGACTCTGCTCAGCTTCGGCATTTCCGTAGAACTACTTATCCGAGTCTTTGCCTCTTCCTGTCTGATACATTGGGGCAACACACGAGGTTGATCCGAGGAGTTGGTGTGGAATAGGGGTTCTTCGTCATCAGCTTCCACAAGCCCCTTTCCCAACGCCTCTCAAGAGGTGGCGTAAACGAGAACTTTCAGACTCAGCTGCAGCTTCCATCGAAGGTTCTCTTTTCTCATTGTCTTGTTCAGCTTTCCCATGTCGAGTCATCTTCATAAGCGAATCTAATCGACGCCAGTGGCTTTTTGGTCCAACATGGGCGTTGTCGATATTCGGAAGAGTGGCGTCAACTACACCTGCAGGAACAGAAACTCTGTACAAGCCCAACCTGTCTCAATTTTCTCTGTTCCCCAAGATCCAGCATGTCAACGAGGAAACTCGCATGTGGAGATTACTGTCTGACTCGAAAAACGTGCTCGCTCGGGTCCGGAGACTCGGAGGTGATGTTGAGGCGGGTGTAACGTGGACAAGATGATGGAAGTATTCGCGAACTGCCACTTGTAGATGTCACGACGGAGTTTCCGTGTTTTGTTTTGGTAGTTGATGGTAATTGAGATCGTCGCGGGTGTACGAGTTGAACGGAGACATGAGGAGATTTTGTGTACACGATGCTTGAGAAAGAGGCCTCTGACAAGGAGCCTTCGTACGGTCGGCTTGCAAGATATTCGACCTCGATAGATGCCATGATGAAGGCAATAATCGTATAAGAAGGAGACACTCCTCGCCTCTTCTAACAAGTATCATCATCAGCTCCCAACAGCATCACAACAGTCACATTCTCTTACATCAACAATATGCTCTCCCTCAAGCTTCTCCTGACCCTTCTCCCCGCGGTCCTCGCCGCCCCAAACCCCCGATCCAAAGACCCTGATGTCGTTGAGGGCAAGTACATCATCACACTGAAGCCCAAGATCGTTGAGGTTCAGATTGAGCACCATCTCTCGTGGGTCGAAGACACTCACAAGCGCAGTCTGCACCGCCGTGACGAGAATGGTGTCGAAAAGATCTGGAGCGACAACTTTAAGGGGTACTCTGGTGAATTTGATAAGGAGACTATCAAGGAGATCAAGGCCAGTGACGATGTAAGTTTTCACACTTTAAGCCCACTTTTTCAGCAGTCTCACATCGACAGGTCATCGCCGTCGAGCCAGTTCGCAAGTTTGAGCTCTACCAGCAAGTCATCACTCAGAGCCCAGCGCCCTGGGGTCTTGGGTCCATCTCGCATCGCACTCCCAACTGGCACGAGTATCGTTACGACAACTCTTCCGGGAATGGCACGTGGGCGTACGTTCTCGATACTGGAGTCAACTGCAACCATACCCAGTTTGAGGGGCGGGCTCATCTTGGATACAATGCCTTGCCTCACACTGAGTTTATCGATGCGAATGGTCATGGAACGCACTGCGCTGGGACCATTGCCAGCAGGGAGTTTGGTGTCGCCAAGAACGCCAGTGTGATTGCCGTCAAGGTCTTTCACGACAGCGGTGTAAGTGTCCTTGTTCTCCAAGACATCTTGATAACTTACTAAAGTCAACAGTCGACAACAGATGTGATCCTCGATGGCTTCGAATGGGCCGTCACCAACATCACCAACACCCCCGGTCGTGCCCAGAACTCAGTCGTCTCCATGTCCCTCGGCGGCGGACGCTCCCCAGCTTTCAACGCGGCCATCGAGAATGCCTACCGCGCAGGTATCCTCACAGTTGTAGCAGCAGGCAACGAAGAGAAAGATGCCCGCGACGTGTCCCCAGCCTCTGCACCCAACGCCATCACCGTAGCCGCCGTCGACAGGAACAACGTGCGCGCCAGCTGGTCCAACTACGGCGCCGTGGTCGATATCTTTGCTGCGGGCGTCGACGTGGTGAGCACCTGGATTGGTACCGATACCGCGGTGGAGACCATCAGCGGGACGAGCATGGCTTGTCCTCACGTCGCGGGTCTGGCGCTGTATCTGATGGCCCTAGAGAAGCTGCCGACGCCGGCTGATGTGACCAAGAGGATCAAGAGTCTGGGTACGAAGAATGTTGTGGCTAATAGGGGAAATGGAAGCCCCAACTTGCTGGCTTTCAACGGTGTTCCGGAAACTAAGCTATCTAAGACTGGTTAGGCAAGGAGTGGGATATGCTCATTGGGTACACGATGTTGAAGTTGGGCTTATTGGATATTTGGTTTCTACTTCTCAGAGGAACGTTTCTGTACCTGTATTCTTTAGAACGTTGAGAACTGCTTGCTGAAATTAGTTATCCTATCGGGTTGAACTTCCCTGCCGTGATGAAGTGCATGATCCAATAACCCTACATGGCATGGCAGTATGCTGTGAAACAGTGACGACCATGATGAATGGTTGCCTCTTTTCTTGCTTTTACCCTGGACCAACATGTAATTCTGATCATGATAACTTCAGGGCTGACCCGCTGATCGAGCTGAGCGTGCTTCAAGGATTAGGGTAAGCAAGTTGGCTAACTGAAAGTAACAAAAGTGCATGAATCAAAGAACAGATGGACGATTCTTTAATTGTCAAGGCCATCTCTGTCGCAGAAATCACCCGTGCCGAGGTACAATATCACTCTCGAGTAAGACAACGCGGCGCCACGCGAGATCCAGGTTGTCGCGTGCATCCACTCAGCATTGTCGATTGCAGCGATGGCGCGGACACGGGAAAAAACGTGGCAGTCCAGGGTTGGGGGGCCATGGAAGGAGAAACGAGGCGGTCCGTGATGAGATGGGCCGGGACCGGGGAAGATGGAGGGCACACGGGGCGTTTCTTGGAATAGATGGATAGTAGATGTTTGGTGTGATGAGTTGTGCAGAAGTAGATCTGGTTAGATCTTGGGTCATGGTTGAGTGTGACTATTCTCGGTGATGTTGTCGAGTAAAGCTATTGTTATCTGACGCTCGTTATTATTCAAGCTGACATCTATCTGACCTGAGTTGTCTCAGTTGATAAGACGCAACCACGTGAACCAGCTTCAGCTCTGGCGTTCAGTTAGCTGGCATGGCAACTTGTGTGACCCGAAACAACAACAGGTCTTGTAAACAAACCCTCGTTCATCGGTTATGCACAGGCATCGGCTGGTCTGTAATTCAAACCTGCAGCTGTTAATTACAGCCTTTGCCGTTCGCGTCGTCGTCTGTTCCCCCTTTTTGCCCCGAGGGCTCCATAAGTTGCTTGAGTCGAGTGTTCCCCCCTCACTGGCGCACATGCGTTTGGGCTGATGCGCACAGGGCGGCTACTGTTTTCGGTGTACGCTTTTGGAAACGCTGGATGTTTCGTCCACGCAAGCGGCCTACCTGGAGTGTAGAGATAGCAGAGGTTGTCGAGTCCTTTAACAGAGATATCAGTTTACTAGGTTCATCAGAAGAACACCAGCCTGAGGCCGCCAAATCTCAGACGAGGCGTCAGCTCTCCTGCAGCCATCCACCAGCCAACCGCTACAGCCGCCGCAAACTCCCCGTCCTTTAGCTGTCCTGTCCTGTGCCAATTTCCCTCAGCCGCAGTGTCGCGTGCGTGTGAACCCTTCTCTATTCTGGGTTAGGATCGAACCCGCCCGTTGATTTTCTTGTTTCTGCCTTGTGTGTGTGCGTGTGTGTGCCCGTCGGGTGTGCGTGTCCTGCGCTGCTGCCACACAGTGGATGTTAGGTCGTTGGCGCGCTGCCGCTGCCGCTCGCTAACCCTCTCTCACCCTCCCCCTCAGGTCAGTCAGAGTCAGCAGCCAGCTCCTCTCTCGCCGTGAGAGCCTGACATCACCGCACCACCACAACCACCACCACCTTCTCTTCTACCCTCCCTCCGCCTGGCTTGTCGCCTATTGCCATCCGATTCTTGGTGCGACACGGCTTCTCTCTCTCCTTGAGCGATACCGACGTCCTCTCCTTGCGCCTCTACGCATTCCGGGAATGCCACTGAAGTAGCGCCTCTCGTCCATCCATCGCATAACCTTCGATTCCGCCCCTAAATCCTCCGCCCGCCGCCGCTGTTTGGCTAGGTATCCTGTCTATCTAGGACTCTGACTGGCCCTCCACCCGCCGACCCGCTCCCGCTCAACACCACCGCACCGCGAGCCCGCATGCCCGACTTCGTCCTGATTACATGATCCATTTCGATCCTCACCTCCACATCCATCTTTCAACTCTCACGCCCAACGCCCCGGTGCTGCGAGTCCGGCGCCGCGGCATACCTTCGTCACCATGTTTTGGAGGTTTGGCGGTTACGCCAACATATCCACCATCGACACTATCCTCGACAAGCCCGACTTTACCCTCGAGGAGCTGCTCGATGAGAGCGACCTGATCCAGGAGCTCAAGCAGCACAACTCCAAGCTCATCGAGTATCTGCGCGGCGACAATGTCCTCGAGAACCTTCTAGAGTACGTCGTCGCTCCCAAGTTGGAGACGGTCGAGACCCCCGAGGAGCCCGCGGACGAGGAAGACAAGGCCAAGAACCGCCTGCTGCCCTTCTCGCGATCGCGCGCATCCTCCCGCGCCACCGACCCCGGCAACGATGATGAGGAGGAGCAGGAAAAGAAGCGCAACCGCTACGCTTTTGTGGCCTGCGAGATTCTCAGCTCCGATACCTGGTCCATCTACGAGGCCCTGGCCGAGAACCGCCAATTGATACGCGATTTCTGGAAGTTCTTGTCCCGCCCTGCCCCGCTCGACCCCCTCCAGGCCAGCTACTTCACCAAGGTCAATGAGTCTCTATTTGAGAAGAAGACCGAGGACATGATGGAGCTCTTGATGAGCCTGTCAGATGCCGTCCCCAACCTGCTGAGGCATGTCGAGTGCCCCATGATTATGGACCTCTTGCTCAAGATTATTGCCTTGGACCGTAATGAGGGTGGCCAGGGTGTTGTCGAGGTATGCGCACCCACTTTGATAGGACCGATTCCCTGAATGAAGCGCTAACTTTTATTCTTACATAGTGGCTTTACTCCAAAGACATCATCCCGACACTCCTCTCCTGTCTGAGCCCCGAGAACAACTGGGTTGTCCAGACGGCTGCTGGTGACTTCATCAAGGCCATCATCACCATCTCGGCGAATGCTTCCCAGAACGAGCAGCAGTGCATTGGACCCAACGAGCTTACTCGCCAGCTCGTGTCCAAACCATGCATCGAGCAGCTCATCGGCTACATGCTCGGCGGTGGCAACCCTCTTACCGTCGGTGTCGGCATCATAATTGAGGTGATTCGAAAGAACAACTCTGATTATGACCCGGATATGGGCACTGAGGCTAGTGCTGTGCCCTCCAGCCGCGACCCAATCTATCTGGGCACACTTCTCCGCCTGTTTGCCGAGAATGTGCCCAAGTTCATGAGCTTGATCATGGACGTTCCTTCACAGAAGGACAAGATTAACTCTACGTTTGGTGCCAAGCTGGAACCGCTCGGCTTCGACCGCTTCAAGACGTGCGAACTCATGGCCGAGTTGTTGCATTGTAGCAACATGGGTCTGCTCAACGAGCCGGGCTCGGAGGAGTTGATTGCCACCCGTGATACTGAGCGACAACGTCTACGGACCGAGGGCAAGCTTGGCCCGATGAAGGAGGAGGACCCTTCCACCGACGACTTGACTATGCGACGAGCCGCACCCGAGGAAGGTCGACGTCTGGAGGTTACGAACGCAGATGATGATGGCTTTGAGGAGGTTGAGCCCAGCAAGGAGATGAGTGAGGATACTTCTCACGAGTTTGTGCAGGCTGAGGTTGATATTCCCCCCGTTTCCACCACCTCGTTCTCCGGTAAGGATGAGGACGATTTTGTGGACGAGCCACTCAGCCCTACACCAGGCGCCGAAGCGAACAAGACCAAGGGTACCCGTTTCGACGAGCCTGATCTGGTTGTTGCGCCTTTGTCACCTACAAAGCCCAAGGCTCCTGAGCCTGCGACTGAAGAGCCGGCCAAGGCTGAGTCGGCTGAGAAGCCTGAAGCGAAGGAAGCAAGTGGCAAGTCAGAGGATACAAAGACGGGAGATACCGACGCAGCTGCCAAGGACGAAGCTTCTGACTCTTCGGTGATGCTCACCCCGGCTCCCTCTGAGCCCGATACCAAGCCTGAGTCGGCTGATGCGTCGGCAAAGGACGAACCCAAGGCCCGGAGCTTCTCGCCTCACCCTGAGGATCTCCCCGCGCCCCTCTTCTCGGCCCCTCCCGCACCTGAGTCTGGCGCCGACCGACCCCCTCAGGTGGCCGAGGCTCAGTCTCAACGCGCCCTGGCGGATGAATCCATTACTGAGGCCAAGAAGGAGCAAATTGGGGATGAGACAGCTGGGGAGCAGCTTGCTGAGCAGGATGCTGGCATTGACCCCGTTGTTGGAGACTTTTTGAAGATGCAGTTTGTCGAGTATCGTGTTGTACCGACGATTCTTGTAAGTATTCCTCGTTCTATCTATGAGCTTGTGCTGACCTATTTAGTCTTTCTTCTTTGCATACCCCTGGAACAACTTCCTGCACAACGTTGTGTACGATATTGTCCAGCAGGTCTTTAACGGTCCCATGGACCGTGGGTTCAACCCTAACCTGGCCGTGTCTCTGTTTGAGGCGGCCGATGTTACAAGTGCCATCATCAACGGCCAGCAGGCCAGCGATGAGTCTCAGGCCAAGACCAAGACCCGAATGGGCTACATGGGTCACCTCACGCTGATTGCCGAGGAGGTTGTTAAGTTCACTGAGCGGCACCCCCCGGAACTGCTCTCGGAAACGGTCCTTGACCGAGTTATGAGCCAGGAATGGATCAACTACGTGGAGGGGGCGCTCGCCGAAACCCGCGAGAGGGATAATGCCATCCTCGGCGGCGTCCGGCCAGAGGTCGCTATGGGCAACCGGGCCATGGGCGGCAACCTTGGTGGCGTGGGCCTGTCCGGCCTGGGTGGAAACTCGGGCGCCGGCTCCAGTGCCCTGGCCGAAGCCGGTCTCAACGGCGGTATCGAGCTGAACCAGGACAGTGGGAACGGGATCGGACCCTTTACCATCAGCGCCGGCACGTTGATGTCTGGCTTTGGCAGCAGCAGTGATGAGGAAGACGAAGACGGAGATGGAGACGAGGAAGATGTCAACTCTGAGGTGAGTGGTGTTTCTGCTGAAGGCTTTGGCGAAGGGGGCATCCCTGGATATCCTGGCATAGTGGACTCCCCTGAAGACGTGATCATGGGTTCTCCTGAGCCTATGCGAGCGGATTCTCCGGACGACGATGAACGACTGGACGTTACAATGACTTCGCCTGCGGATTGGGCTAACTCTGGGGCTCCGTTACACGGGGATGGACGGCGCGACTCAGAAGATCCGCATGCTGAGCAGGTTGAGCATGTCTCGAAGCCAGCAGGAAACCCCTAGGAGGGCCCATCCTGTTGGGGGACACTCAACCGGCCACGCACAAGGACTCGAGTCCCTTCGCGAGGCATGCACAGTCATGACGAGCCAACTCTCGACGACCTTGAGACACTCGAGGACATTGAAGTTGAGGAGCTCATGAGACTGTTGACGACGGCAAGATTTTGAGATATGATACCAGGCGTTGTGGGCTACTAGACTAGGTGGACGGATGGAGAAGGTAGAGCTGTCATGTAAGGGATTGCAGAAGCTGGGTTATGTATAGAGTTATTGGCAACGGAGACAAGTGTTAGGATTTGCATGTTGCTACGGAGAGGAAAGAAATGGAACGGGGGATGATGCTGCGATGCCAGAGTTTCACGGATGCCGATGCCGATGCCAGGCTCACATTCTCTAGTGTCGTTGATAACTGAAGGGCGTTATACTGACCAAGACTCATAGTTCCGAGCTTATACGGACCCCCTGAACAATTCGGCCGGGTCGATGGAGCCGCCATCGATCCCTCCTCCTCCTCCACCACCTCCTCCGCTGAACATTCCCCCTTCTCGAGCTCGGCTGCAACTGGCGGCGCGGTTGGCGATGCACCAGAAGAACAGCCAGGCACAATCATCGGGCAACCTAAGTAACGATGACGATGATGACGACGACAACCCTACGGATCCCTTTGCGGATACGGAAGAGGATTTCGACGATGATGACCAGCAGGCCATAGGAAAGGGCGCATGGTGGCGGGACGTTGTGAGAGACCGGGGAGGCAAACTTGATGGTAACGAATCTGACGATGAGCGCGACGATGATGATGACGACGAGTTTGGAGACTTTGCCATGGCAGAAGATGACCGAGCTGGCGAGGATAACGAGCAGAGGATGGTATTTCGGCCACTAGCCGTGAACCCGGCAAAGGAGGGGTCAACGAGAGGACTCAGCGGTCTCTGGCCATTTGGACTCTCCAAGGCAGAGAAGGAGAAGGAGGGAAGCAAGTCAACAGCCAACGACGATGACGACAATGGCGATGACAAGACAGGCGAGGGTGTGAGCAAGGCCGTGGAGGTCAAGGAAGCCAAGCGGAGGACGAGCATCGAGGACCCCGACGATGACGACGAGGTTGTGGTTTAGGCATGGAAGGACTACGATACCAGATTACGCGGAAGGAAGGGCATAGACACGGACGGGATGGGATTGTAGGTAGGGTTTTTGGTTCAAGAATCCGAGGGTCATAATGACGGGAGCTGCTGTACGATTACACGGGGATGTTCTGGGTAGGGATACGCTGTACGTAGAATTGATGCATTGAGAGACGTGAGGCTGCTTGATGAAGCTGACGGTCAAGTTGGCCAAGGTGAATGTGTTGATGCATGTTTATCCCTGTGAGAGATGAGGCCCAGCTTACCAACGTCGCTTCCAACGAGGCTATCCCTGTCTTATCCCCCGCAAGTCAATATGGCTGCATCTGACGTCTGGAGAGACTCAGCCCCAGACACGCGAGATTCACAACCGCGCAGCATCGGTATAAACGCGTAAGAGTGATATTTAATTTAAACAGTCGCCCAAAGAAGTGACGGATCATTAAGCTAAGCGCCCGGCAGATCTAAAATCTCACCGCAAAACGTTTCCGTTCGTTCCCGTCTCCATAAGTTGAGCTGGTTGTTTCTCAGAGAGTCGCCCTACCTGCTTGGCCTGCCTGTTAAGCTGACGCAGGGCTTGCGAATCATGTTATACAGTAAGCACAGGATGGGGAATTTCATTTTGTTCGAGGTGAGCACTAGCAGGCACGTGTGCGGCCCAGTCCCATTTCGCTTGTAGCCGAGAGGGCATCCCTGTATGGGGAGGGGATCAACCAAACTTGAGACGAGGCCTTGTCTGGCGTTGGTGATGGAGAGCAGTGGGATGTGTTTTGGATTTAAAGTTTATTCATATGAATACGAGATGATTGACATGATGTTATGTGGTGATTTCACAGTCAAAGGAGTGTAGGAAGAAGACAAAGGAAGGGAGGATTTCAATGCAGGAGATGAAAGATGTATCCGGATTAGGGAAACCTAGAAGCAGGGGGGAAGCTGACATACCATGCAATCCGGTAAGCAGAAACGGAATTAAACAGTCAGAACGTTAAAAAAGAAAAATTGCGGTTGCAGGCGCGTAATTTCGAAAGATGGGCATAGGGCTGTTCGTAAAAAAGTCACTACCGTGTGGAGTAACGTTAGGGGAACACACACCAAAGTTCCTGGAATAGTTCGGTAGGGGGGAGATGAGCATGCCCTAATTAGATGAACAATTGACGTGGAGGATTTCTTCTTGTTAGAGTGAGAATATTTGAGGCATGGGGTGATACGATGGGCAGGGATAGATGCTACACTCCAAGTCGTGGACCCCCTCCTACAAGAGACCATTCTGGCATTTAACAATTTGCTTTGGCTACACGACCGTTGATCATATTGTGAGGCATCAAGAGTATTCCTGAATAGCCATAGTTCGGATGTACGGGTTGTCTAGTGGCGCCAGAGCTCGCAAAATAACGACCGCTTTCGCATCTTGACGGCATCTACTAGTGTTGGTGTTGGGTCTGGGTTTCACGATTCATCTCGCCCAACTTGGTTAGAAGGTGATCAGCCATATAATCTCTGAATTCGTCATTGAGTCCCTATTTCATGCGTGTCGTTATATTACTCGCAGTGACATTGAACAAAGCAGGTGTACCTACATGAGAATAGAAGCATGTTGGCGGTGTAAACAAGACTTCTCCCTGCCTCGCACTCAACGCACGCCACCTCGGACTTGAGATTAAAGAACAAGAACATCGTCTAAATCGAGGGCGGATCAAGTACCCGACCCGAGCAGACCAAACAAAGGCTGAGCGATAATTCCCCTGTCTCTTTCAGCCCCCAATCCTTCCCTGGGGGGGGGGACGACGAGGCGCTGTTAAAGGGACCCGCAAGGGGGGAAGGGTCCCATGCCGCGCCGTGATCCATCAGCAACCGAGAGCGTGGTACCTACTTAAGGGTCTGGTCTGGCAGCGCCCGTGAACCAACGCCGGTCCCGGCGAGTGATGATTGTCATTTTTTGTTTGATTTAGTTGCTTGAAAGTACATTTTTTACTGAATTGAATCTGACGTTGTTTCTGTCGCGTCGGATTCGAGAGACATGCCGTAACGCCCGGAACCCGACCCGCGACAATTGCTCAAAATGTCTCTCGGGAAGCAACAGCAGCAGCAGCAGCCACTCTCACAACAGCACAGCCAACCCCCTCCGGAGCGCCTCATCCAGGCCGTCGCCCAAACCCTCGGCATCTCAAGAGATGACATCCTCCTATACGACTCCTTTAGCGAACTGGGCGGCGACGAGACCAAGGCGGAAGCTCTGCGGCTGGCCTGCAGGAGGAGGGGCATAGACGTCAAGAGCGAGGATGTTTTGAATTGTCCTACGCTCGCTGAGCTGCAGACGCGGATAACGGCTTTCCCTGATCCTTTACCTCTTGATTCCACCACCAATTCATCGTTGAGCTCGGAAGATTCGATTCGAAGCCCTGTGGTCGATGATGACGTATTCTCGCCAAAGAGTCGCAAGTGGGCAGATTCCATGTCCAGCTACGACTCCGTGTCCACTGACGACGACTCGATAAAACCCATCAGGTCCAGTCTTGACGGTCTTCTCAGGTCTTTTCCCAAGGTCAAGAATGTGTGTCTCGCGACGCCCAAGGCGGGGCCCTTTGACGGCCAGCTGGTGGCCTTTCTCAGCATCGCAACCAGTAATGGTAGTACGGCAGGGGCCGAAGTTGACGAGATCACGTTGCCGCCGAGGAGGGAGATGGAAGCGCAGAGGAAGGAGATGCGATCGTTACGGATGGCGGTTCAGGAGTGGGCTGCTGATTCTCGACGGCCGCAGATTTGGATTCCTCTCACGTACATGCCCTTCACCGATAATCAAGAGCCAGACGTGCGACGACTTCAGGTGTGGGCTCAGGATATCAGCAATTCCACATACGACGAGGTCATGAGAATACAGGTCGCTGAGCCTCGGCGGCGGAGGGACATCAGTCCTGGCAAGTGGCGGAAAAAGGTGCAGTCGTGGGCTGAGTCGCGAAAGTCGATGTTGGTGGTCCACGATGCTGAGGAGCTGGGTGAGACGGTTTGTTTTCCACTCTCACCGATGCAGCAGCTTTACTTTCAGGCTTTGAAGCAGAAGGGCGAGTCGATTGCTGAGCCAGAGTGTCGGTACACGCGGAGCGTCATGCTCAGAGTAAGAGGTGGAGCTAAGTCGTCTCACGTCGAGAAGGCTGTTGAGGCTTTGGTTGCCAGGCATGAGATGCTTCGAGCTCGCTTCAGACCGGTTCTTCAGGAGTGGCTCCAGGTTACTGTTCCTGCGACTTCAAGTTCATACCGTTTCGCTCACCATATTGATGTTGACGACGATGAGATACGGGGTTTGGTGGAGGGAGCGCAGGCTGCTATTAACCCTACCAAAGGACCCGTCTTTGCTGTCCAACACATTCAAAACGAGAACAAGCAGATGCTACATCTTACGGCTCACCATCTAATCGTCGATCCTCTATCATGGCGTATCATCATCCACGATCTCGACCAGCTGCTACAACGAGGTACTTCTCTATCCAAGCCATCAACATCTTTCCCCCGTTGGATCGAATACCAAAACTACGAAATGAGCCAGCGATTATTTGAGCCGACACTCCCTTTCGAAGTATTATCCGCCGACCTCGAATACTGGAATCTGACACAAGAAGTCAACACCTACGGCAACACCCAACAATCTTCCTTTTCCCTAACGCCGGAACTAGTCTACATCCTGAAGAATGCATCCGCCAACGTCTTGCGGACAGAGCCGGCCGATGTTCTCCTCGCAGCACTGCTACTCTCTTTCTCTCACATGTTTCCCGACAGAGCACTCCCGACGTTATGGAAGCAGGAACACGGCCGAGGCGCTTTTGATGGAGACCTCGACATTATGGACACGACCGGATGGTTTGCTTCGCTTTGTCCCATTGGCGTCCTTCTCGACTCGACGATCGATCTAATCCAGGCCATTAAGCTTATCAAGGATACACGCCGAACCGTCCCTAGAGAAGGCATCCCTTACTTTGCAGCCGAGTTTTCCACCTCAAAAGGCGCCGCTGCGAGTCTACCGGTGGAAGTCATGTTTAATTGCGCGGACACGGCAGAGCAACTTCAACGAAAGAACGGACTCCTGGAGCCGGTGATAGCGCCAGGTCAGAAGACGGCTTCTCTCACTTCTGAAGCAGGCTCTGAAGTGGGCAGGATAGCCCTCTTCGAAGTTTCTGTTCTGATGGACGCTTCGGGGGCTCAGGTGGATTTTACATACAACAAGACGGCCAAGTACCAGGACAAGATTGAGACTTGGGTACAGGTCTTTGAGCGTCTTGTGTTGGAAGCTATTGGCAAGCTCCAGAACCATGAACCCGAGCTCACCCTGGCCGATGCACCGCTACTGAGATCATCTTACAAAGCTCTCGCTAGACTCACTTCCGATCGACTCGCAGGCGTTCCTATTCCGAATGTGCGAGATATCGAGACTATCTACCCCGTGACGCCATCCCAGCAGGAGGTTCTCATCGCCCAGACGCAAAACATCGACACATTTAATGTACACGCCGTTTACGAACTGAGAGCACGACAGGGACGTTCGATCGATACTGCACGGTTGTGTACTGCTTGGGAGGCCATTGTGACCAACAAGCCAGCTCTACGGAGTATATTCATTGATGGAGTGTCTCGGGAGGGACTGTTTGATCAGGTCATTTTGAAGAAGGCATCGCCGAGTATGCTTTTTATCGAATCGATAGACCCTGATGAGGCCGTCTCAACTTTGCCAGAGCTGAACATGCCATTGACGGAACCGCGACATCGTCTTTCAGTGTGTCATAACCCTGATAGGACGTTGGTGAGGTTGGATACCAGTCAGGCAATCTGCGATGTTTGTTAACCCATATTGTTCAAGTGATGAATAGTTGCTAACGGCCACAGTTGGCGAGTCTCGATCTACTCGTGACAGAGTTGAGTAGAGTCTACTCAGGCGAAGAATCGACACACAACGAAGCCCTCCACCGCAAGTATCTGTACCACGTCTCCTCCACCGACACAGCCTACAGCATGGAAGTCTGGAAGATCGGATTATCCCACGCGAGGCCATGCTTGTTCCCTCACCTCTCGCCCTCGTCAGGAGACGCGTTCCAATCTCAGTCGTATACCCTCGACGTCACACGCCCTCAACTCCAAGCCTTTTGCGCACAACAGCACGTCGAACCCCATGCTGTCGTGCAGCTTGCTTGGGCGTTGGTCCTCCGTTCCTTTGTGGGGGCGGACCATGTCACATTTGGGTATCAGTTTAGTGGTCGAGATGAGCAGCTCCTTGACGGTATCAATCAGGTCGTGGGCAGCTTTGCTACTGTCTTGCCGTGCTCTATTGAGGTTAGCCCTGACTATTTGATCGGGGCTTGTCTTGCGTCTGTGGGGGAATCATTCACCACTTCGCGCAAGCATGATAATGTCACTATGGCCAAGATTCAACACGCTATGCGGATGAAGGAAAAGCTTTTCAGCACATGCTTGTTCTTTCAAGACTCTGACCCTTTTGAGGACAACCCGCTGGAAAATCGCAGAGCAGCAGACCTTGTCCTTTCTCCTGTGACATCCGGACGCAGGACTGACTGCGACCTCTCCCTCACTGCAATCTTTGCCAACAGCCGTCTCCAAGTCAGCTTCACCTCACGACATCTCTCACATAACCAGACCCAAAGTATCATTAGCAGTTTTGAGGCGGCCCTGAAACGCATTATGGAGAACCCGGACAGTTCCGTTGATGAAATCGACCTATTTACGGATCGCCATTACGCACAGCTTGTGGTCAACGATTGGGAGTCGACTCAGAGGTCTCGCAAGATTTCGGCTTGTGTCCATGATGTTATTCTGCAGCACAGTCTCACGCGTCCTGATGCTCTGGCCGTCTGTTCTTGGGATGGAGATATGTCATATGCTCTGCTGTCCACTCTGGTCACTAGGTTACGGACGTATCTTGTGAACCTTGGCGTTGGTCCTGGTATGGCGGTCCCTGTTGTGCTGGACAAGAACCACTGGGCCCCCGTCATGCTCCTCGCTGTTATGCAGGCCGGTGCCAGCTTTGTGGCCCTCGACTGTCATGACCCCGCCACGGTCAAGTCGACCATCGATCACCTGAGGCCTCATATTGTTCTCGCGGCTGAGACAGCATGGCGCGACCTCAGCGCCATGGTACTCAACCTGGTCATCGTCAACGACACCCTGTTTGCCAATCTGCCCCCTCACATGTCGTCGCTCGCACGTGAAGCCAGCCCTGAGCAGGCTGCCTGCGTCTTCATCAGCCCTCGTGCCTCGAGAAGCATCTTCTTCACCCACTCCTCGTTGTGCTCCATCTTTGTGAGCCAGGGTCAAGCCCTGAGAATGGACAGCTTCAGCAGAGTCCTACAGCTCTCGGCCTTCAACGTCGACATCTCGCTGGTTGAGATTCTGGGCACCATGGTACACGGCGGTTGTATCTGTATCCCCTCGGCAAAGGATCGTGCCCAGGATCTCACCGGTGCCATGGCACGTATGGGAGTTACGTGGTCGTACATGACGGGTATACTCGCCCGTAGGATCGCTCCAGCTTCTGTCCCGTCTCTTCAGACAGTTTGCTTCCGAACTCGTAAACTGGACCCTGACACGTATGGGCCTTGGTTGGAGAGCCGCAATGTTCTGCTTGCTTATGGAGCACCGGATATTTGCCCCCTCGGTATCTCCATCACTGAGATCACAAGGGACAACCCGTTGAACGTCATCACTCCGCCCGTTACGGGTCGGTTCTGGGTTCTCAACCCTGAGGATCCAAAGAAGCTCATGCCTGTCGGTGCCATTGGCGAACTAGCCATTGACAGTCCCCTCGTCACACCTCATCGGTTTGCTCTTGATAGACCCCTGGTCGCTCCAAGCATTCCCTATCAAGGAGAAAAGCAGAAGGCTCGATATCTCAAGACGGGTCACCGTGTGAGATTTCTAGACAACGGCAACATCCAGTTCCTCTCCAGTATCCGCGACGACATTGTGGTAGATGGCTCAACAATCGACGTGACAGAGGTAGAACAGCATATCCGTCGATGTCTCGGCAAAGGTATCGATGTCGTGGTGGACTCCATCAGGACTAGAGATTCGGCTCCTTTTCTTGCTGCTTTTATCGAACTCGATCCGACACTCTTTCATGGACAAGGGAGCTTTTGCGATGTTAGCGAGCGTGTCAGGGAGAGGACTTTTCTTGCGAAAAAGATGTTTGATGAGTCGATTGAGAACCCAGGTCCTCATACACCCAAGATTCCTCGACACTGCATCCCGTCAATTTTTATTCCCGTCAAGGAACTCCCTGTGTCTACATCCTTGAAGGTCAATCGCCGAAAGCTACAGCGCATGGTGTCGCAGGTGTCCGGCCAAGAACTCCTCGCCATGTCCACGGTTCCCAACCCAACAGAGATCCAGCGTCTTGTCCTCGCCCAGAAGCCTCTCCCTCTAACGCGGCCGGAGCAAGTCATGAGGTCTATCTGGGCTGGTGTACTACGCATCCCACCTGGAGAGATCAAAGGCTCTGACAACTTCTTCTCTGTCGGTGGGAACAAGCTCCTCGCTACTGAAGTCGTTATTGCGTGTCGAAAGTACGGGCTTCATGTTTCTCTTCTCGACATCTTGAACGAGGTCTCTCTCACCGACATGTGTCGAGCTGCAGAGTCGTCCAACAAGCCCACAAAGAAGACTCTGGACATATTTACCCCGTCACATCTAGCCTTTTCGATGGACAAGTTTGACAACGCACTTGTCAAAGATGTGATTGCCCCTCAGCTCAACTGCTCGCCTCGGAATATCCTCGACGTAACCGAGGCGTCGTCTCAGCAGATTCGAAGTCTCGAGTTGGGCATGTTTAGCTCCCGTGCTGACATTGTTTGTCTGGTTATCAAGTTCAACGGTCCGCTCAAGCTGTCCAAGCTTGAGGCGGCTTGTGATGATCTCACAGCGATGCATCCTGCCCTCAGAACAGCATTTGTCGCGCACGAACATCGAGTTTATCAGGTCCATCTTGCTTCACCGGCTCCCTTCAGGACATATCCCTGCGAGTCCAAGCTCGACAAGATGACTGAGACTATTGTCAAGGAAGAGCAGAGCTTTGCTTTTGACCCAAGAACTCCTGCCACGCAATTCACCTTTCTCGACTCCAACAAGCAGGGAACGCTTATTATGCGTCTGAGCAAGACGCAGATAGACAGCACTTCGTCGCACCTCATCGTTCAGGACCTTGTTTCTCTCTACGAGGGAGCTGCCAGCACAACTCCCAGATCAAGCTTCCTCGAATACACCCGTGCTTCACGCATCAACCGTGACCAGGGCTTGGAGTTTTGGAAGTGTCAGCTCGAAAACATTTCCATGACCAATGTTATCAATGACATTAAACCTACTCCTCCAACAGCCGTGGCTCAGATCAAGTCTCTTCAACATACCACCTCTCAAGGCCGTCTTGTCGACTACGGCATGACCCCCGACACCGCCCTCAAAGCTGCTTGGGCTATTGTACTAGCTACCCTCTCCGGCGTCAACGACGTTCTCTTTGGCGAGGTCATCCACACGCAAAACGTGCCTCCTCCGTTTGCCATGGACCTCAGCAGCATGGTTGGCCCCCTGACCAACGTCATCCCCGTGCGTGTACAGTTTCCTGCCATCCATAGCACACCTCTCGATCTCATGGCCTGCGTTCAAAAACAGCGACAGTCCAACGCTCGCTTTGACATGTTTGGTTTTCAGGAGCTTGTCAATGAGTGTACCAACTGGAGGGCGTGTACTCAGTTTAGCACTATTGTGCAGCACGATGTCAAGTCGCCTCTTGATGGATCGTCGACGCTCAACATTGATGGAATGACTTTTACATACAAGACTGTCGATCCTCCAGCGCAGGACTTTCCTCATTTGTTTGTCCGCTCGACCGTTGAGGGCGCTGATCGTGTCACCCTCGAGATCAAATACTCTGAAGAGCGTCTGTCTACTTCGTTTGTGCAGTCTTGCCTCAGTCTTCTTGTCGCTGCTTGGGAGACTCTTACCCATGCAGACACGATTCACCAGCCCATGGTTCAATCTGCTGAAGAAATCAGTCGCTCGGTGAAGCAGATTCCATTCCCTCCCAAGGAGTCTAGCACTCTGCATGTCCCGGTTGATGTTGTTCTACAGCCAGCCCAGCGAAAGGACCTGGACAAGGCCATCGCTAGAGCTTGGAACGAGGTTATCAAGCCATCATCCAACATCCCGCAGCGTCAACTCGAGACTATCCCCTTCTACGCCATCTCTAGGTCTATCCTCTCTGCCCACTCCCTCACAACGCACCTCAACCAGGCTCTGAGGTCCCTCAACATTCCCAACCTCAACACCATCACCCTCAGAGTGGAAGACATCCTCTCCAACCCGAGCAGCCTTTCTCAGCTCGAACACATCACCCACCTCCTCCGCACCGCCGGGACACTCGCCCTCCCTGTTCCCCCCGCCCCTAAATCAGATGCATCTTCAACCCTTCGACGACCCAATTCAAGATCCGGTCCCCAGTCCGAACGCACCGTCTCATGGCGCAAGAGCTTTCTCGGTCTGAGAGGTCGTAGCAGTATGAAGGATTTGAGCCAAAAGGCTAGCGAGTGGATCAAGTCCAAGAAATCCACCAGCGACACTTCGCTACCGTCTAATGGCGTTCATGAACTAGACGGCGCCTCCCGCGGGAAAACAGTTGCAGAACTTCCTGCACAGTCAGCCCCTGTCCCAAGACTCGGTAGTCTTCTTTCCGAGAACGAGAAGCATATCGCTGAGCTTGAGGGTACCATCCTCAGCTATGACTCTGGTGGTCGAGGTAGTCCAGTTGACCGAAGCAGTATCGGAGACTCGTCTTGGAGATCAGTTGAAGACGCAGAGTCATCCTGTCGGTCCATCGAAGAAGTTGTCGAAGTAAGCCCAGTCGGTCCTTTTCACGCTGATAAGCGAAAGTCCATCTGGGGATCTGTGTTGGAACTTCCACGTCGTTCAATAACTCCTCGTTTCTTAAGGTGAAGGGGCCAATCTCATACACAAGACAAAATGTGTCACCTATTTATTTATCATCCCGGCCTATGAAAGGCACAGTTGGATATGACGCCCATGTTTTCAATATTTCTGTAATTATATCATGACAAGATAGACATAGTAATGATACCCCATGACAAGCATTGAACAAGGAATCAAGCCACAAAACAGTCACGTACATCTACACCAAATGAATTCATCATTTCATTCTGACCCAAAGGCTCCTCTATAATGTCATAATAAGACAGTCTATATCTGTCACTCAGCGCAACTGGGGTATACGAGTTTAACCAGGAGATCCGAAAAATGCCCATAATACAACAAAAAAGCACGCTCAAAAACATCAAGACCAATTGCTAAAAAATCATCAAATCATGTCAAAACTCGGTGAGAATCCAGTGAGAGCCTAGTGAAAGTCTCCCACCCGAGGACCAAAGTACTCGCCCGGCTTCAGCTGCTGAAGAGGGCAAGCATCATCCTCGCATCCCACGTAGTTGATGGTGTTGCCCCACCACTTCAGCTCAGTGCCCTCGAGCTGAAGGGCGAAGAAGATGACGATTCCGGCAATGGCGATGCCGCAGGACCAAGCTGCAGAGAGCACAAAGTTGTACTAGGATTGTTAGTATAGCTCAGTGTGAAAGTAGAGAGTTTGACTTACTTTGGACCACAAGCCGAGGTATCGTGACTTGAGGTAAATCCAGGAAAAGTACGCAATAGGCACCGAAGGCCAGACATACGACATGTTGTACGGAGCCCACACAATGCCTCCGTACATGATGGCCACGGGGTGAATCTGTCGAGTCCAAGTCCAGTTGGGGAACTTCTTGTTCAGTAACCAGACAGCCAACACGACGACGACTCCCAGAGGGAAACCGATAAGCACTTCCGTGTACAGTCCGTTCTCACCAAAGATCTTCTTGGGGCCAACAGTACCCCAGAGAACCGAGGCGGTAAAGAAGGTGTTGACGCTGGGGCAAGACATCTTCCAGCGGGCGTCCTCGGTACAGACATCAGGGATCTGAGTCATCTGGAAGTTGAGGACACCAACGCACACAAAGGTGCTGATAAAGGTGGCCACGATCTGGGCAAAGAATGTGTGTCGTGGAGGGATCTTGACATAGTGAGCAAGCTTGAGATCGTTGGAGAACATGACGGCATGGGCGCATGTGACGTAGCCGAATGACTTGAAGTAGTTCATGGCCAGAGCATTGCCCTCGACAAAGGATCCTCCAATAAACTCGGCGAGCACAGTCAGTGTCACCTCGATACCCGTCATAGCCTTGATGATGCCAACGGGGATGACAAAGACGAGGCAAAGAGCAAGACCGTAGAAGATGACACCAGGCGACGTATGAGTATCCCAGCCAGCAATGCCCGAAATACCAAAGGCCATGGCGCAGACAAGGCACACCATATACCACCATTCAGGCACCTCACGGTAAGCCTTCATAAGGCGAGTGTGAACATCAAGGTCGTGGAGTTCATCGTTTCCGGTCGGCTTCTTCTTCCTCATGCTGTTGAAGAGACCCTTGAATCCAGTCACAATCTCACGGCGGTGAAAGAGGATGGCATAGGTCAGCGTCGAGGTGTAGATGCCAAAGAAGAAGATGTAGATGACCACGTTGCCAGCACCCAAAAATGGGGGCGAGTAGTCCTCATACTTTTCAGCATCAAACAGACCACGGTCATTGATGGCACGAGTGACATTGTACAATTCACCGAAGCGATCGTAAACACGGTTGCTGTTGATGGGGAGGAAACCGGTGTTGTAGATGTTGCTGTACCACAGACCCAGCACAACCCACATGGAGATGAAGGCTCCAACGAAGCGGTTGAACGTGCTGAAGAAAGGGACCATTAGAGGATCGGCCGAGTCCCACAACAGGACATTCCAGTCCCAAGTGGGGAAAGGGTTGATGCCAAGGCCATTGTTGAAACCAGTGATGGTGCTGAGATCGCGGTGGGTGGGGTCGATCCAACTCATCCAGCTGAAGTTGGAGAGCGAAGTCCACAGGTAGTTGGGCAACCAGAACCAGATGAACATGGCGCCAAACATGACATAGAAGAACTTGATTCGCGAGACTCGCCAGATCTTGGAAAAGGGACCTTGGACCGGGCTGTTGTTATCAGTGTGGAAGGCCGAGTTCAGCGCAATAGTAACCAGCGACGCGGGCCACACGCAGTAAGAGGGGTACACCAAGAAACGACGGCAGACGCCAGCCATTCCGTAGCCAATGAAGTTGGTGCTGAGTGCGATCAGGATCTGATAGGCGAAGTGGGAGGCGTATGGCTGGTTAAAGTATTGTGGCAGATACTGCACCCAGATGATGAGGTTGGTATACGGGGTGTTGTATGCGACGTTGGCCATAATAGTGATGAGCATGTGCTCCTTCTTGGAGAAGGGGCCCGGGTTGAGAGAATGACGAACACCAAGGAACGTGAATCCAAGGTCAGGGAGCCACCTCTCACAACCCTTGCCAATGGGATACGACAGAAGCTGGGCAACGTTGGCCATGATACGGATCGCAGGTTGACGAATATCGAAGAGCTGATTGGTGAATGCGAGGAGCACCGAAAACGTGAGACCGATGGCCCAGCTGCGGATTGTAGAGCAGGGAATCGAGGTGTCATCCTTGTTCTCAACCACGGCTCGGACTTCGGCATACGGGCTGTTGTTGGTGATGAGGGCAGCCTCCAGCTTCATCTCTTGTACCAGGTTCTCGTGCTTTTCGGGTTGCGTAAAGAGTTCGTCGTTCTCGAGGAAGGCCTTGATCTTTTGGATAACCGTCAGAGGAAAGTTGGGGTCCTTTTCGTGGATGCGGTAGACCCGGCCCATGATGTCGCGGACATCTTCGAGGGTGTACTTGGAAGCGAGCTCGCGAGCCTCGAGCAGGTCGTCCTCGGTGACGTGAAGGTCCTGCTCGGCAGCATGGTAGTCGGGCATGTCATCTTGATCGTAGGAGAAGGACTGTTCAAGTGCACGGGTTAATTCAACTGGTCTGTGGTAGCGAGAGGTATGAGGAGCGCCGAAGCAGTAGGGGTCAGATTCGGAAAGTCTAGGTCGGGGTTCATTACCTCATTGTACTCGGAGGATGAATCGACAATAACCTGTTCTTGATATTGTTCTTGGTATTGCTGCTGGGGATTGCGGTCGTCGGGGACCTCTGACACCCCACCGGTGGAAACCCTCTTCTCGTTGTCCGCCATGGCCAAGGGCCGATGAAAGTTCTAGGTCTAGTCCTCCAGGGTTACGAAACCGCAGTTCGCGCAGTCACTCTATATCTCTCGAGGGGTGTGACGCGTGGAGTCGGCGATGCAAGGGCGGCGATGACGATTCGGGACGCTTCAATCGAGGGAACAGGGTCGGCCTATAAAGTCAAACTAGAGAGACTGATGATGGCCAAATGACTAGCGAATCGATGGAAATTCGCGACAGATACGAGCGAGGTTGTCTGTGGGTGAGACTCGGGTTGGTGGAGCGAGTGCTTGCGAACAGTAACGTCGCGATGGCCTCAGAGTGGCAAAGAGGAGTATCGTCGAGATGAACCGGCGACGATGTCGATGCTGTTGATGGAAAAGAATGAAACAATACGAATGCCAGTGATGGGGGGAAACAGGCGTCTTTGAGTTGCTGCGTCCAGAGAGGTTGTAGCGTGAGTCTCGTCGGGTCTAGAGTGTCCACGAAAGGACAGGCGGCCGACAGGCGGATCTTGGTCGGCTCGCGGCACTCGTGGCGCTGGGTTCCTGTGCGGTGTCGTGTGTGTATCGCGGATGCTGGCTGCCGTGCTCGCGTGGTGATGGGAATGCGTGCGTGCGTATGCAGGTTGGCAAGCAAGCAGAAAGACAAGTCGAGTCGAGTCGAGTCGTTGGGAGGAATCGGAGCCCGGCAAAGAGATGGAGTCTTGGTACTGGACTGGAGGAGTTGGAGGTAGGCCGGTTGAGGGAGAAATGACGGGATGCGCAAGGAACCCGGCAAGAGAGCGCGCGTGGAAGCGACCAGGGGCCCAGTTTCGCCGGCTGCAGGTATCTCACGCACTGGCTGGCTAGACTGAGACTGGGGGAAGCGGCCTGGTCTTGGAGAAGAACAAGAAGTGGCGGCGACGGCCAGGAGGAGATTTTCGGTGGAGACGGGGGACACGCCTTGAGTGGCTGAGAGCAGGGCTTTTGGGAGGGTTCACTGGTTCTTTGAGGGGAAAGACGCTGAAGGAAAGTGCAGGCTCGGAACTAGGGAGCCGTAGCTGCCTCTTTGCGAGCGAGTGAGCGCAGCGTCAGAGGGAAGGAGCGGCAAAGACGGCTTCTTACGAGGCTTGGTCTTTGGGGGATGCTTGTGCTTGTGCTGAGGGGTGGCTTCCCCTCCAAATCTGGTTCAAAATCTAGAAGATCAGGTTCAAAGTTTCAAGCCGGCATGTGCCTTACTCTATTCTAATCGAGTCCAATTTGAATTGATGAATTGATTCGTATCCTTTTTTTCTTGTCGTGCAACAGACGGCGGCGTACGCATCCTCCCCTCAGAAGCAAGCCGTGTGCGACACACACACACCAGGACGGCACTCGGCAAGAGAGCCCAGCCCAGAGACAGGGTACGTATCTCTCTCTGGATGAAGGACCTGAGACTTTCAGGTTCCATGCGACGCGGGAGAATGAGGTACGTGTGTCAATGGCTACGAATGAGGCGGTAGGAATCAGTCACTGCTCCTGGTTGGCCTCGCAAGTTTTCTTGGCCGGGGGACTTGGGTCTAGTGGAACGGGGACGGGGGACGGGGGACGGGACGGATTTGGCTTGATGGAAGGGGGATGAGATGGGGCCGGCCACTCCGTGATGGCCTACTACAGAAGGTGCAAGCAAGGTATTTGACTGCGCCTCAACATTGGGGGAGTTATTTCTAAGCCAGCTGTATCTCGTTGCAAAAGCGTCAATTCAAAGATTGATAACATCTCGAAATATTTCATCTCTTTTGTCGTGAATCAACATCAATTCAACACCTTCAAACTCAGGTAGCATCGCCAAAAAGGGTACGTACCCCTACTCGGAACAAACGGCACGGATAACGGCGTGATCGTCTCGGCGCTGCGCTGTTCACGATCCAATCTCATCTGGTGGTGAGATTGGGGAGCTGAGAGAGGGCAGAACCTTTTTTTTTTTGCCTGTTCCATATAGCGAGAATCCCACGGGCATGGCCGAATACCCGGCTTGACCTGACCGGATGCAGCAGGATCACGTCCAATACGATGATTGCGTGGGTGCTGAATCATCACGGCTCCTCTTCTAGAAGATCAAACCCAGCCCTGCGCGGTTTACCGGCATATCGGACTTGTTCAAGATGCCGTCCACGTCAGCCCATCGACTCGTCCCGTACTGTAGCATTTGCGAAAACGCAATGTCGGCCGCCTTTGAAGCTATTCGCACTAATCTATGGCAATGCTTGATTCCCCTGCCCAGCCTCCCCCTCCGTGCACCAGTGTCAAGCAGCCAAGTTGCCAAGCAAAGGTGACAAGCTAAGGGTTTGTCTTGGCCCGTGGAGTAGCGAACGGCATTGACCTTTTGTGAGCCTCAAACTCGATGACATGACATGGCAGTTGTGTGTAAGCGTAGAATTGTGCAGACCGCCGCTGTCGTCACTTGTGTCGTGAATGTGCCGTGTTGCCAGGAGTGCTTGGCACACAAAGTATCCGAACCACTGTGATAGGCCGTAAGCACCTCCAACTGGACAGATCTTGAAGCACCAACCGAGAGGCCCACCGGGGAAACTCGTGTCCAATGTGCTCCGCTGCAGATATAAGCTGCTCTTACACTACCACTTTCAACAAACAATAAGCGATCATGGTGTAGTGGTTAGCATTAGCGCCTTCCAAGCGCTAGAGTCGGGTTCGATTCCCGATGGTCGCACTCATTCAATTCCTATTCTTTTGCCGTTCAGATGCATTTCTTTTTGCGTTGAAATGTCGTGGTTTGTCTTTTTGTCCATGTTGAAATGTCTGGCGCATGTTTTGTTGGTATGATTCATCGTTGAATGCCTTTTGTCGAGCCTTAGGATGATTTTAGGGTCGCCTTCCTAAACGGGTAATTGAAGGCATCAGGCAAGGATCCGTGTCAGCTTACCCTACAAGAAGATGCCTCGACGACTATTCATCTTGTCAATCAGTTGATGTCTATTGGCAGATAGATAATACGAGTTCTTGGCAGTAAAGCCCATTGTTTGAGTTGATCTATGTCCAATGTGAAATTAATTAAGTATGTTACAGCTCCCATTTACACAACCCATCCCTCAGTATCACCGGTCATTCATTCCATCCCTCTACTCTTTACTTCTTCTCCGACAATGAGTTTAGAATACCATTAACATCAACAAATGAAAGCATCTGAAGAGTCTCGTCCCATATCTTACCAGCGAGTTCTAGACCGTAATCCTCATACACCGCCTTGGTATAACTGTGACTGTTAGCATCTGTCATCCAACCGAGCTAAAGAACACTTACTGAAAGATCTTCCAGTCCATGACATATGAACCATGAGTTTCCTTGCCCTTCACAATAGCAGCATCTACGAAAGTGCTCGCTCCCTGCTCCAGAGATCGCGCAATGATCCACTTGGCAACCCAGGCGATGGTGCGTACGATAAAGTTGGCGTTTCGCTGTAGATCTGTGCTTCTGACCAACCCCGGATCAACAAGGTTAACGATAACATCGTCTGGATTGACACGCTCCGCCAGCTTGATGATCCAAAAGTGCGCGAGAGCCTTGGAGTACCAGTACGTGCTCGCAGGTGAGAACTTGGACTCGTCATCGTACCACGCTAGCGCCGACTCGTCTTTTGGATCCGGCACATTGACCATTAGTGATGTTCCAGAGTTGACGATGGTGAGACGGCCTGGCTTTCCCGCCGGTGCCTTTTTCTTGAGGGTGGGCAGGAGGAGAGTGGCGAGGAGGACAGTTGAGAGGTAGTTGACCTGGAACGTGGACTCGTGACCCTCAGGGCTCCTGGTGAAGGCCATGTTTTGAGTGCCTGCGTTGAGAATGGCAAAGTCGATTCGATTCAGGGTTTCACACTTTTTGGCAAATGTCTGGACGCTCTCGTGTGAGAGCATGTCGACCTGCCACACATCGATCTTGGCCTTGGGGAACTTGCGTCGGAGCTTGGCTGCTGCAGCCTCACCCTTGGAGACTGTGCGGACTGCGATTACAAGGTGACTGAGGTTGAGGGCGAGCACGGCCTCGGCTGCAGCGAATCCAAGACCGACATTGGCACCAGTGATGATGCCAGTACCGTTGGCGAGAGAGGTTTCCTTGGGAGGCCAGACAGGCTTGGTGAATTGAGATTGGAAGAAGCGATAGGAGTCTGGCTTTAGTTCGAGGGACTTGGGAGGCATTGTGATGATGTTGTGTTTTTTTGGAGTTGGAGAGTGAGAGGAGGTGTCTGTTGACTGATGATTGTTGAATGATGTGTCTGTTCATCTCCAAAACGACTACACTTGCACTCCCTTATATAACACTTTACAGACATCAGATGTCTTGATCAATTACGCAGCGAAACATGCCCAGGACCAAACCGGAAAGCAATCGAGACGTGTTGACGCCATCCATTTTGGCGGTGCAGCCTGCTCGGTAAATGTGACTATTGCTCGACTGACAGCCCTTTTGGGTAATCAATGAGTACCGAGACATGGAGTTGAGGCTCGGAATCAAGGGGTTATGCTATTTTCTTTCGGTTGGGTGAAGGGACTGCCTTATCTCCGGACTACGGGATTGATGCGTATGGACTTTGGTCCAAGAGGCTGCGGTCGGGAAAAGAGTGAAACACCGAGGTGTGCTGCAAAAATAAAGAACACACTACAATCATGATTTTTGGCTATGGCTGCCGGTCTTATTTCGACTACATGGCCTCAATCATTCAGCCCTGCTGGGCACCATCACGGATCTAACCCGAATAGGAAAACAATCGTGTCTTGGCACTCGTGGGGAACTACGGATATCGTCACCAACGCAGCTCCACCTTGAATCAACTGTTGTCCGTTTAGAGTTAACAATCTCAAACCCTCCCTTTTCTTTCCTTCTCATACCATTTCACGCCATCTTTGAGATCATCATACGTCAGAATACACACCAAATTAAGACCGACGACACGCGCTGGCCAATATGCTTGAGCCCCTCTTCACCACTCCGGACCCTCAGCTCCCTGTCCGGCAGAAGCCACGGGCTAGGAAGATGGCGCGTATGCTTAACCTGACCTCACCCGGGATCTTTTTTACTCATCCTGATACGCTGCAGCTAAAAAGTTTGAGTTCATCTCTTCTGATCCAGCGGGCAAACCTGCCCCCGAGACCCGCAAGTTCATCCGCAGCCATGTCATGCGCGGCAAGAACACCAAGCGTCGTGGGGCTTCTAGAGATGTCGTTTTGGTTAACCCCGAGATTGAGGAGGATGAGGCTCGGAGAGATGGCAAGTCCGGTCGTCCGAATATAGGCATGGATGTGTCCCGATTTCCAGACTACTACCGAGATCACCTTCAGTACAGAGCGTGGGTTGAGTCGCCGTCTCTGATAGCTCGTATGCTGTCGCCTCCAGACTTGACTCTTTTCAACTTTGCGACTCCACTGGATAGGAACTCGCTGTATCTCGTATACAGATGTGAGCTCATCACACTCACACACGTTGCAAGTCACCTAACACTTCCCAGTCCTTACCACCATCAAAGACACCCTCTATCCGGTAGAATGGTGCTTCGAAACCGACCGCACAAAAGTCTGCTGGTTCCGCTGGCTCCTACAAGATGCCACCTATCTCCACTCGGTGCTCTTCATGGTCAGCGCGTTCCAGGACCTCTTTGAAATGCGAACGACAAAAGGCCGCAAGAGTTACGAGAATGGCTGGGGCATCTCGTTTTCGTCACAAACAAGGAGTCGTCTTCGACAGACCATCCAACTCCTCCAGGATAAGATTGACGACACGGACAAGCAGGTCGAAGATGTCACTGCGGCTGTGGTGATTCAGCTGGCTGTCATGGCGGATGCCATGGAGGACGTCGATGCGTTTGAAGCTCACTCGAACGGCTTGCGGAATATCGTTAGGTTGAGAGGTGGACTAGAAGCATTCAACGACAACCGTCAGTTGCAGATCAAGCTGTGTCGGTAAGTGATGCTGGATATCATGCTTGTCAACTGCTAACGATGGTAGGGTCGACCTCGGCTGGTCCATCAGGAATGGCTGCAAACCTGAGCTCTACAGAGGTACACCGACTTGGCATCCACTACTCGAGACGATGCACGGCATCTCTGCGCCACCCCATCTTCAGACGACGACTGCGGCGTTGCTGAGCATGATGGATTCCTGGGACTACAAGCTCAAGAGCGCTTTCAAAGATCTTCGAGACTTTTCGGCTTTGGCCAACCAGCTCATCCCTGCTCGTCGAAAGCTAGAGCCTGAGATATTCCAAGAGATCATGTTGTCGGTTCAGTACCGGCTACTCGTCCTTGAATACACACTGGATGAACATCCCCTTCGGGAGGCTATACGTCTAGGTCTCTTGGCATACGAGTCCACCATCTTTCTACAAATCCAAGGCGTCAAGCTCAAATCAGATTTGTTCACCTCACAACTGCGCGAAGCCATCGAAGCCATCCCAGTTGAAGGAGAAGCCATTGCCAACGTCAAGCTGTGGCTGCTCCTCATTGGTTCCATGGTCATCTTTGATAGTAAGGCGCCATGGCTGGCGCAGTCGATCCAGAGCTTGACGGGTCGGCAGACGTGGTCCCAGGTTCGGAAGCGCGTCAAAGAGGTCATGTGGATTGACATTATTCACGATCTTGCTGGGAGCGAGGCTTTTGAAGCTGCTCAGACGGGACGTGTGCTGTGAGCAGGCAACGTCTAGGCTTGTGCAATGGGACATGTCATTTCCGATGCGAAAGGAGACAAAGAAGTGTCCAATATCAACGTCTAGGCGTGTGCTGGCTTTACGTCCCTCATCTAACGCCTTCATCCCAGCAGCACCACCGGTTGATGACAGCAAACAGCCCAACACGGCATCAAAGGTTATGAAGCAGTCCTTGCCGTGCGCTTCATGCGGTTGCCCAAAATTCCTGGACAAGCATACAGAAAGGATACCGGCAGATACGTCAGCTCCTCTGAACAAAGGCCAGCTGCAAGGCTCCTATTGCCTAGGAATTCTGCAGCCGGCTCAAGCTACCAGCAAAAAAAGAAAAAAATCGAACAAAACTACGCGAAGCAGAACTGCGTGACCTGTTCGGATGGCTTGTCGATGTTCTGCCCAGCTGATGAACAAAGGATCAGCCAGCCTCCTTTGGAAAATGGGACGCGGGTTTTATGACAACAACAACAGCGCAACCAGCATGACGACAAACAATCTCTATCATTTCTCATATATCCCCTGTCGTTCTCCTGGACCTGTCCTATCATTTAGCTTGCTGGATGCCTCAGACCTTCTGCACAGTTCTTTGTTGTGAGCTGCCTAGTGGCTCCAGAATTTGCACACACTTCAACAAAATTTCCTCAGCCTTGGTTCTCCCCCAAGCATGCTCAACTTGCATGAAAAGTTTCGTGCAAGCTGCTGCGTCTTCTTTTCGGTGAAGCCCTGAACAAAGGAACAAGGAGAGCTTCAGAATGAAGCCAAGCTGTCATGAAAGGAGATAAAAGTCACACTGCAATAAGATGTGATGGTCGCTCTGAAAAGATATAAGTATGAGAGTTTCCTATCGCCATCTAGCATCTCTTCTCACTTCTCAACGCGAGCATCTGGCACCTTCTGTCACCCATCTTGAGCACACATCGAGCATCACTTCTTGAGTCATCACAACTACACACAGTCAGGACACCACCACTGTTCCCACCATGTCTGACACAACCTCCCAAACAAACACTCCCAACAAGGAGTCCTCCCCCAACGAGCGCCTCTACACCACCGCAACCCCCATCCGCTTCGCCCCCCGCGGCGCAGGCGGAAACGTGGTCATGCTAGACCCCCGCAACGTTCAACAGTGGCAGCTCGACGCATACGAGGCCCGGCTCGACGAGACGGCCTCCCAGGTGGCCAAGTACAAGGACCGCGTCCAGGAGCTTGAGTCCCTCGTTGAGGAATCTGCCAGCACCAAGGCTGTAGATCATACTGCGCTGCGTGGTGAGCTTGACATGCTGAAAGCAGAGCTTGGGACGATGATGAGTGCACAGCAGCAGGCTCAGGCAAAGAAGAAGGGGGATTGTTTTCCTTGGAAGACTTCTATGGTTATTCTTTTGGCTGGAGTGGTTTTCTTTTCTAGCTACGCTGAGGAGAGCATACCCTAAGTTTACGAGACTATGGAATGGTGGGTGCCTGGGTGTTGGGTTGCACGATGACGAGTATTGGACTTGGTGGATGATGGCGGAAGATTGGATCAACTTTATCACTCCTTTTCATGAGGGCGGATTCGAGATGAGGTGGTAGACTAGACTGCAGTAAACAACTACCTTTGCTATTGACCACTACCACGACCCATTCTTTCTCTTGACATCAATAGAGTCTCCAAAAGAGGCCATCAGTATCACAACCCACAAGTGTCAGCCCTTGTGTCCTCAACCCTTGAGCCGTCAAGGGAGATGCGGTGCTTGATCGACGTTTCCCCCAACTTTACCGACATCAATGCTACAGCTATCGTGGACGCCGGCACATACCCAATGGTCTCAATCATACGGAGTACGCGGAGCGAGGATAACTGCCGGTCTAAACTAGTGTAGTTAACCCACGGCTCCAGTTCTATCCCTTGAGTTCCACATATTCAGTCTCAGCTCACTCGCAAACTTGACCCTTTGCTTTTCTTGCCCACATATTAGAGTTGAAGCTAGGATGAAGCGTGTTTTAGACATTCATCGATAGTCATCAAGTTCCCCATGCTCAAAATGTCACGCAAATCTTATCTACGTTCCTCTGCCGCGCGGGACATAGATCCCTTTGTTATTATTGTGTGGGGAGCTGAAGTCTCCCGCAGCCATTCCTCGCTTATTTCTAGGGAATTCAAAGTGAGCTCGTGAAAAGTCATGTGTCCAAGCATCAAGAGTGAAGCCGCATACCAAGCTCGCGGGAACCCACCACGTGGGATAAGAGAAGGGTGAGGAATGTATTGTGCTTTCTAAACTCCCGAGTCCCCGGTTATTGGAGATCGAGAATTATGAGAAATCGGTATACTGGTATTTACCCGTTGTGTCATCTCGGTATGTGGGCATGCCTTTTCGCAACGGCGTCGTCATCAATCCGACTATGGATAGCTCAAGAGGGCAGGTGTGCTTCTAGCTGTCCCTAGACAAGAGCAGGGCATCTTACACATTCAGAGACACTTTCTAGGACTAATGCAAGAGTACGAGGGCGGAACTGAGAGAACAATTGGGGAGTTCCAGCTGGACATAGGCCAAGCACGAAGCCCTCACGCATCCAGATCCTGGAACCTCAGCTACCCTATGTCAACAGCCATTCTCACATCGAGCCTAGCAAGTCCGAATCCCCGTCAGTAGTTAGTTATGAGAGGAATGCTATGTATGGTCGGCTAAATCAATGGAATCCGTGATCTGATGGTTCGCCGACAGAAAGTTGCCCGCCTTTCTCCAACACCGAAACAGAGCATTGGTTTCACCATCACCAGAACACAACCTCTCCCGTACGACATGGGCAGTGGCAACGTCATACCAGAAGCAGGTATGTAACTCCTCGTGCTTCCAACCCTCTGCGTCGTATCAACTGCCGACCAGCCTTGCCAACCTAAACCCACCAGCATAACACAGCCCATAACCAAGCAAGGAATGTGCCATCAAGATCGGCATTTGGTCTACCGCAAAGAAAAGCTTGATACACCGCATATGAGAATCTTGGAAGAGTTGCGTAACCCACCCCTCTCCATCAGTCCACCGCGGTACCGACAGTATGGAACAAACGGGCCGTTTACCACGTATACACATTTTCCCTCTGCAGGTTCCATTTCTGGGATGTTGCCTCTAAGAATATTGAAAGTAATGCCCTAATTCTGCTCGTTGCCCCGAGGCACAGTGAAACGTGCATGGTCGCTTTCACAGAGGGTGTGATTCTTTCCTGCAGCACACATCATGGACCTTTCACTTCGGCTACACAACTCCAAAAGATTGTTCCATCCCGCGGTTAGAATGTTGCTAGAGAACCACAGCCCTACCGGCTGCATCGGTCTCTGCAGCGGCCCTATCTCCTACCCGGGCCTTCCGGATACTACTCCTTACCACCATGGATCTTCGCCTCTTGATTCTTCTCGGGCTGAAGTCTTGATTGGGAAGTATCTCATCAAACAGCTCTGATCAAGCTCTTTCATGCCTCGGCATGATACTCTCCAGGTCTCCAGGTATGACGTGCCCCCCCTTCTGCTCCGTGCTTTTACTTACCGCCCCCCTCGTCTGAAACTCCCATGATCGATGCTGCCCTCTGTCTTCCTGTCCCTGGTCACGGCTTCGGTTTCCGGAACGAGTAGTGGGGTGCGAGATGGACGAGCCCCCCAACGCAGGGTTGCATCCCTCTAATAGAGGGAAAGGGAAACACGGTCGGAGATTATTCCAACGGTGAAGCAATGGACCGCGCACGCACACACATATCTGGTATACTACGTAGTAAGGTCAAACCCTCTGCTACGTACGTATCAAACAAGGTGGAGCTCTCTCTCTTGGGGTCTTGTCTTCATTCCCGAATGCCGCGGTTGTGGGAAACGGCACTTCATGGAGACCAACACGATGGGGGGACCCTCAACGCTAGTCCAGGAACCGAGAGCGGAACCTTTTGCCCAAACCCCTGGAAAACTCAATAAAAGAGGAGCCCGAAGCCGAAACGTTCAAGTCAAAGAGTCGGAGTTGACGACGTAATGAGGCCCGACTCGGGATGCATCAACTACTTTGGCAGGTTGCTCCGTTCTAGAAGGTTTCTGTGGCATGATGGAGTCCCCAGTCTCACGAGCCATGGCTCGTCCCCCCTCCTCCTTCTCTGATGAGAGGAGTCTGTTGGTTGACTCGTAGAGCACAGTTCAAACGGGCGTTAATTGCGTAGTTCTGTGTCGATGTCTACAGGGGCATCATCTGACGGTGCCGTGCGTGCCTTGTGCTTGCGTGTGTGTGTGTGTGGTCCCCGGAACCTGGGCTATTGAATCTCGGGCCCCATTCAAAAGGTCCCTCTTCGATCAATTATTGAGCCCCAATACGGTATGCTGCGGGGTTTTGCCCTCTCAGAGAAAAAAAGTCGACACGGAGAACGGAGTAAGACGTATAAGCAAGTTGCAACAAGTTGGATGATGCCAAGGATGTCACTCCTCCGTATTCCGTACGGACACGGAGCAACATTGCACCAGCTCGAGAGAACCACAACTTGAGCTGTCACTTTCACCTTTACCAGCAACATTCTAGCTTCGTCCTCCCCAAGAGGGCGGGAACCGCTAGATCGTGGCCTGGGCCTTGTGGATGCATCCCGCTAGCAAGCAGCCTTCGTCTGGCACGGTTGCGACGGGTACGGGAACGGGGGGACGGAACGAGCGAACGAACGGAAACATGGCATGTTCGTCCCATTATTTTTCTCACCCTCAACTGCAATCGAGTGGAACCTCAAAGTTCCCAAAATCCAATATTTTGGTCCAAGATGAATGACGACGACGACGACGATATGAACTCTTGCCCACAACCCGCCCCTTGTAAGATAACTTGACACTATTGGCATGGCAGGACCCAGAGGAAGAAAACGCCATACGCGGAAGACAAGGACTAGAGCGGAATTGGGGCCGGTAGACACTCAGACCAGTGAGTGCCAAGGAAGAACCGGTACATGGCTGAATCAAACACAAGCCGCGGCTCTTTGCATGTGATCGCCCAGACATTTGTTAATGCCGAGCAGTTAATGAGATGAAAAAGCCGTCATTGTAAGGAAGATAGGCAAGGATGCTCGGTGAGTGATCCGCATAAGCACCGAGGTGACGCCCTCATGAGTTTCATGCGAGAACGAGAAAAAACACCACAGAGGGAATTTGGAGAAAGAAGGCCAAACCAAAAAAGTCTCCAAAAAGAGTCATTGGTCAAAAACCGCTCGGTATCGCTCTCCCTCCCTCCCTCCCTGCAGGGATTGAATTGAGATGGATGGGCATTGCGTGTCCAGGGCTGAACCGTGCACGCCACCCCCTGGTCCTCTATTTCTTGCCTTAAGAGGAATCCTTCGGGAATCTTTCTGGAAGCTTACTAGAATAGGAAAGGGGGTAGGGCGTGTGTTTGTTTCTTTGCTGCGCCCCCCTCTCCCTGTTAAAATGGAGCCCTAGCCAGCCTACCATCAGGAATCAGGATGCCCTTCCATCGCAGCATCCTTCTGTCTATGGGTATTAACTGAAATGGGCGGCCGACCTGGTTGGAGTCTGATAGTCGATACAACGGCGGTCAAGTTTTCAATGCCACGACGGTTGACGATAAATAACCGCGGCCGAGAAACAAAAAGGTATGCAAATGTAGGCACCGTAGCACTCTATACGGAGTACATGATGTCTGTGTGCGTCCAACAAGAGACACTTACAAAGCATCTCTCGGCCGATCTTGGCCTTAACGCCGTTTCAGACCCAATGTCCTTGTGTGTCTGTCCCTCCCGACCACAGTAGGGCAAAAAAGGAATGGAATGGTCGGCACTTTGCAGGATGGACAGGACAGGAATTGCGACAGCCCTACGATGGGATGGTCATCCTCTGCCGAGATGGGTCAGTCATTCTGGACGTCAAACTCTTTTTCGCTCGCTTTCGTAACATGACCTCTCTCGTCGCTCTCTCACGCGGGGTTTCTAATTAATCTGCGACGCAGACCTGCGGCACAGGCTCTGGGTGCTCGGCCCTGTCAAACTTGTCAGTGAGCCACGTTGGAGGGAGGGCTGGCAAAGCTTAATACCCTCCTAGCCTCTCTCGCTTGAGATCCTTCCTGCTGTCGTCGTGGGGGTTGGTTGGGTTGGGTTGGACAACGGTGAGTCGGCAACATCGGTTAACAGGAAACAAAAAGGTAGACAAGGGAGGGAGGGCAGCAACGCGGCACAGTATGTACACAGCCTGTGTTGGTGTTGTTGTTGGCCTTGTAGTATCTGTCTGTCGCTGATGTTGTGCTGCTGTTGGTCTTGATTCCTCAAGGAAGATCCGTGTTTCAAAATACGATATCTCGCTGCAGCCCAATATTTCTCTGATGCCATACGAGACATGATACTTGTTGTTTGTCCACGAATCGCACAACTTACGTGTGTACGGCAGCCAACAGAACAAGCCCAACAACTTTTTTGCCTCTTCCCCTACTCTCGC